ATTCAGGAAGAAGGAAAACTGATTTATTGAACATCAGTTATAGATGGTTGCTAGACATGCTATTTCATTTCAGCCTTCAGGTCTAGAGGTCAGTATTCTACACATATGTGGGACCCTGGGAGAAAGGAGTGTTTATAGAGGGTCTCCAGTGCTTGGTTGCCATGTCTGGGTTAGAATACTGAGGGGCATGTGGCATGGAATCAAGTGCCCGGGGGATGGGGCCAGGCCTGAGGTCACACAGGCATGGAAGTGGCCCCAGTGGCTTTCGACCTGAGGTTTCCTGTTGCTGGTTGGCAAGGGGACCACGTCACATCCACCGTTGCACAACGCGTGTGGTCTCTGTTTCCCCGCTCCTCCCCGTCAGCATTTCCGGGGGACTCAGGTATCATCTTAATCCGCACGCTATGCTGGTAAGCTTTCTGCAGCGGTCAGCACTTACTTGCCCAGTTAACCCGTTGGACATGATCTGGCTTCGCTTACAAGGGCAGCGCCTGCTGCCTCGAGGCTCTGTGCCAGTGCATGGCCGGTGGTAGAAAATTTTTGACTTTGTCCATGTAGGAACCCACGTGCTCAGGCCCATGTCTTTTTCGCTGTCATGTTCCATGTGCCATTCATTGGCAAGTCTCGAGAATATTCCTAGAGTTTCACCACATTATTACTGCCTCTACCATCCAAGTCCAGCCCCGCGTTGGCTGCTGCCTGGTCTGAACAGCTCCCCCACTCCCCCCCTTCACCCTTTGCTGTCTGCTCTCCTTGGGGGGTGGGGTGGGGCAGGAGGATCCTTTTATGCTGTTTCTGCTCAGCTTCCTCCAGGGGCATGAAAGCCACACTCCCAGCAGCAGGCTTCAGTTTCTAAGGGTCCGGTGTCCATCAGCCTCGCCATCTTCCTTCCCTTCTTTTTTGGGGGGCTTTGTGGTCACACCCAGCAGTGCTCAGGGCTTACTCCTGGCTCTGTGCTCAGGAATTACTCCTGGCGGTGCTCAGGGGACCATATGGGATGCTGGGGATTTAACCCTGGTTGGCTGGGTACAAGGCAAATGCCCTCCCTGCGTCTATCGCTCCAGCCCTCCATTTTTCTTCCCTTCTTGGCCACCCCTGGAAGGAACACTTGAGCTCTAACCCTCACTTTAGAAGCCAGATTTGGCCATCGTCTTACCCTTGCTTGATGGTTCTGGTTCTGCTCCCCATGGCCCCAAGTTTGCGGCCTCCTTAGCCAGGTGTATAGAGTCCTATGGAAAAGTGTCTGTCCATGGAGTGTATCATGCTAAGTGAAATGAGTCAGAACGAGAGGGACAGACATAGAAGGACTGCACTCATTTGTGGAGTATAAAACAACATAACATGAGGCTGACACCTAAGGACAGTAGATACACGGGACAGGGAGACTGCTGGAAGCCTGCCTCATGCACAAAGGGGAGAAGGCAGCTGGAATAGAGAAGGTATCACTGAGAAAACGATGGCTGGAGGAACCAGTCGGGATGGGGGATGTGTGCTGAAAGTAGATAAAGGACCAAACATGATAACCTCTCAGTGTCTGTATCACAAACCATAATGCCCAAAAGTAGAGAGTATGGGGAATCATGTCTGCCATGGAGGCAGGGGGAGGGTGGGAAAGGGGGGGTATACCGGGGATATTGGTGGTGGGGAATGTGCACTGGTGGAGGGATGGGTGTTTGGTCGTTGTGTGATTGTAACCCAAACACGAAAGCTTATAACTATCTCGTGGTGATTCAATAAAATAAAAAAAAAAGAAAGAAAAGGGTCTGTATCCAGGGAGAGAAAAAAAATAATAAAGCATTTGCCTGCTCTAAGCTGCTTAGAGCTCAGGGTGAGCACTGTTGCCGTGAGGCAGCAGCTTTCACTGAGCCCCTTCTGGCTGCCAGCGCTTCCGTCAGAACTTACCAGGATTCTTTTATTTTTTTTAATTAATTAATTAATTTTTTATTTTTTTAATGAATCATTGGGCTGGAGTGATAGCACAGCGGGTAGGGCGTTTGCCTTGCACACAGCCAACATGGCTGACCGAGTTCGATTCCTCCACCCCTCTCGGAGAGCCCGGCAAGCTACTGAGAGTATCTCGCCCGCACGGCAGAGCCTGGCAAGCTCCCCGTGACGTATTCGATATGCCAGACACAGTAACAACAAATCTCAAGATGGAGACGTTACTGGGCCTGCTCGAGCAAATCGATGAATAACGGGAGAACCATGAACCGTGAACTGTGACCGTGAGGTACAGTTACAGACTTACAAACTTTCATGCTTACGTTTCAGTCATATAATGATTGAGTACTGAGCCCTCCACCACTGCCTGTTCTTCACCACCAATGTTCCCAGTATCCCTCCCACCACCCCCACCCCATTCCCACCCCACTCCCCCCAAACTCTGACCTCTGAGGCAGGGAATTCCCTTTTACTCTCTCTTTCCCTTTGGGTTTTGTGATTTGCAATACAGGCATTAAGTGGCCATCATGTTTGGTCTGTAATCTACCTTCAGCACATATCTCCCATCCTGAGTGGGCCCTCCAGGCGTCCTCTACTTGGTGTTTCCTTCTCTGTCTGAGCTGCCTTTCCCCCCCAGCGTATGAGGCCGGCTTTGAAGCTGTGGAGCAATCCTCCTTTGACCAGGATTCTTTATCTGTTTTCCCCTCTCAAGCTTCGGTGGGAAGCAGGGCCAGCCCACCCACCAGTGTCCCTGCTCTGGCTAAAGGGGTCAGAGGAAAGGGGTGCTAAGACTTGTTCATTTTTCCAAGTGACGAAACAAGACCCCCCCCCCCCACTTCTCCTGCAGGCCTGGGGCTAAGGCTCCTGCTTGCAGACAGAGGCCCAGTGCCTTCCACACATTCAGGAGGAGGGTGCCCACAGAGCCGCAGCTCGCTGGACCAGTGTGGCCTGGCACAGAGGCCAGTGAGTCAGTCCCTTCAGCTGCTTTCTAGAGAACCTGACCTTGGTGGCAGGGAGGGTCATTGGTTCTCACCAAACCAGCCTGCAACTCATTAAAAAGAATTGTGATAGTTCTTCTCATAAAAAAGAGGAGTGATAGTAGAGTGGGTCCGTGTTTGCCTTGCACGTAGCTGACCTGGGTTCAATTCCCAGCATCCTATCTAGTCCCTCGAGCAGCACTAGGACTGATCCCTAAGTACCACAGGGCATAGGCCCCTCTCTCCCCCCCAAAAAAAGGAGGTAAGAAAATGTGGGTAATGATGCCCCTCCAGAATGCTCAGACTCCAAAGTGCCAGGAACCACCAGGGCACCTGGGTGATGCTTAGGGGCCTTCAGAGCCACGCCCAGTGATGCTTGGGAGTGTTGGGGATTGAACCTGGGTTGCCATGTGTAAGGCGCATGCAGGGCACATGCCCTAATATCTGTACTATTGTCCGAACCTCAGAACTCTGTACCTGTAAAATCATCTCTGTAGGCCCGGGGATGGAGTTCAGTGGTACAGTACTCACCTTGCATGCGAGAGGCCCTGGGTTCAATCCCTGCCTCTCCCCATACATGCAGGTGATCATTCCTGGTTCAACACCCTTCACGGTATAGTCTCCTGAGGACCCCTGGGAGTGACCCCCAGGCACAGTAGCTCCTGTGTAGCACCACCAGGTGTGGCCCTCCCTTTATCCCCCCCAAAATGGTAAAATATCCTAATCTGTAGAAGTCAAGCCAAGTCAGATAACCCTCACCCCTGGGGCTCTGTGCCTTATATTAATGGCCCCTGAGGCACCCTCCCTTGATTCTCAGCCCACCGGAACTGCAGGTCACTGCAAGGCTCTGAGGATGCACTGCTGCTTGGGCCTTGCAGTGTGGGGATGATGGGGGACACCCTGGAGTCTAGGGGGCCTCCAGGACTGCACCTGGCAGTCCTGGGGTCCCTGTGGTGCCAAGGACTGACTTGCAACTGCTGCAAGGCAAGTGCCTTGAGCCCTATGCCATCTCTCTGTTTGCTCCCGTTTTGAAAGAAAAGAATTAGACACTGTGACTTGAATGACTGCAGCCCTGTTGTGTCAGGTATGCAGTGATGCAGCACACCACCTACCCACTGTGTCAGAAGCAGTACCTCCTGCCCCACTGCCCCAGTTGTACCCAAGGCAATTACTGGCCCCCTTTGGATTGTTCTAGGTCCCCCCCAAGGGGGTAGTATTGATTGCTTGGGGAAACACTGGGTTACACAAATAGCTTCAGGGACACAGGGGAAAGCACCCTGCGGTCAGGATGCTGTCTCTAGAGATAGACTTGCTGGTCTTCCCAGCTGGGAGCCAAAGGGCTAAAAAAGCAAACTGGGTATAGGCCTGGTCAAGATAAGTGGTCACAGGGTGGACTGGGACCTCGTTATCATCGTTATCGTCCTTTTGTGGGCAGAGGCCTTCTTGGGGACATGAGGAGGAGGAGGCTGATTTGACGGTGGTGGGAAGGCTGAGCCAGGGAAGTGGGGAAGATGCAGGTCTCTATCCAAGCGGAGGCCTGAGGTTTGCTTCCTGCCTGGGCTTCTCAGGGCTATTTTGGTGCCTTTGGTTGTCGCCTTCCCCCTCCCTCCCAACCCCCCCAGCCTTTTCTCTGTCTTTGGGCAGGAAGAAGACTTGGTCACATTGACATTTATTATTTAATTAATTAACTATTTATTTTGCAGTGCTGGGAATCTAACCCAGGACCTCAGGGTCTTATACATATATGGCAAGAACTCTAACCACTGGGCTCCATCCCTGGCCCCCTCAGTCAGCCTTTTGCAATTGTTTCTGTACTTCTTACTGAGGTGCCCTGTGCTCGGATCCTGAGATGTATATCCTGGGAATCCTGAGTTTAAACGATCTACATTACTCTGCCCATGGCAGTGATGAATTTCTCTCAGCCTTTCACATCCTCCTTCCTACCCCAACAGCCTGTGTTTGATAAGTACCTGAAGTCGGGGGTGGTGTAAAACTGAGTGTGTGGGAATGGCGGCAAGGACAGGGGGCACCATTTACTCCAGTGCACTGCTGGGAGCTGACGCCTTTGTCTCTGTGTTGCAGGCCCCAACATCTGTGCCACCCGGGGCGTGAGCTCCTGCCAACAGTGTCTGGCTGTGAGTCCCATGTGCGCTTGGTGCTCGGATGAGGTAAGGAGCTATGACACCGGGCCTCACTCCCCCGGCCTTTGCAGGGATGGATGCCCGGAGCTTTCTCCTCGCTCCTCAGTTCACCAGCCCCTGGTTTTTCAGAGCAAAACGGAGGTGGAACTCTTCCCTTAATGCACACCGAAGGAAGCTGCCCTGGGGGTGTGGCTGGGAGCTTCATCCCGAGTGTGTCCCTGAGGGCCCGGCTTTGGCCATTTTGGTTGGGGCTCCTGGCCTTCCACTAGCCATTGCTTCCCTTGACCATGCGTGGCTTTCCTTCTCCGAGAAGTAGAGCACCCCCAGAAGCAGGGTTTCTACCTCAAAAGGACACACAGGGGAGCATTATTGGTATTGAGGAGACACTAGCTTTCAGGCATCAGAAGGTGTTTTTATTTATTTATTTGTTTATTTATTTTTTGCTTTTTGGGTCATACCCGGCAATGCATAGGGGTTACTCCTGGCTCTGCACTCAGGAATTACTCCTGGCGGTGCTTAGAGGACCATATAGGATGCTGGGGATCAAATCCGGGTTGGCCGAGTGCAAGGCAAACGCCCTACCCACCGTGCTATCACTCCAGCCCTACATCTGGAAGTTATAGAAGGCAAATGAAGGAGCTGCAGAGCTAGAACAGAGGATAGGATGTTTGCCTTGCATGTGGCCAACCCTAGCTCGATCCCTGGCACACCAGATGGTCCCCCCGAGCACCACCAGGAATAATTCCTGAGTGCAGAGCCAGGACTAATCCCTGAGCATACGCTGGATGTGATTCCCCACCACCCCCCCAAATAAAAGGCAAACGAAAGCGGCATGTTGATGTGTGTGTGGAATGTTAGACAGTGAGTCTTCTCTATTCTCCTCACCTCTTGGCTGACAGCGGCCAGTGGATCCTCCTCTTCCTCTCTCTCTCCTCTTCCCCTCCTTCCTTCCCTCTCTGTGGTGTTGATGAGGGAAGCTGGCGCAAGCTGGCACAACTTGTGAGGCTGTGAGGGTGACCGGACGGGGCTCGCTGTGTCTAGGAAGAAGCGTGTTGTGTCTGGGTCCCGGAGGATGAGTGTGTCTGAGAGAACGGCACTGTTGGGGGTGGGGGGCGGCGGGATTTTGGAGCTGGCCAGGGCTGGGGGTGGTGCATGTGACGGGAGAGAGTCCGGTGATTACAGAGGCTGAGATGAGTCATTGCTCATCTCCCCCCCCCCCTGCACCCCAGGTGCTTACCTGAACACCTGTGGGATGCTCTCAGCTGCCTGAGGCGCCCTCGGTCACCACAGCCCATCCCTGCTCTAACCCAGTCCCTCATTCTCCGTCTGCTTCTCTTCCCAATTGCTGAGTTTCCTAAAAAAGGCAGCTAGCTCCCTGCAGGGTGGGGGTGCGGGGTGGGGGGGTGGAGAGGAGGCTGCGTTCCTCCCAGCACAGAATTGCCACGAACCGGCCCAACGAGCTGCTTTGGCCTTGCTGCAGCTCAGCACGGGAGCATGGAGCTGCCTCTCCAGGCAGCGGCCCAACATCTGGGCCACGTTGACTTCATTTAGCAAAACGGCAGTTCCCTGGGGCTGGGAGGGGGTGCATGGAGGGCTGAGCTGCCCTCCACCCCCAGCCCCTGCAGTTCCCCGTGCCACGCCTCTGCTCAGGGGGGCTGCTGAGTGGGATCTGGTCCTCACCCTTCCGATTGGCTGGATCCTCTTGGTCTTGGTCCCCACTGGGAGGTGATTGAGTTTTTGCCAGCGAGTTGGAATTCTGCAACTGAACCCTGGAAGAAGGGAGGGCTGGAGGGGAGGGGTGCCCCCTCTCTGTCTCTCTTTTGGGGGTTTGGAAGCTGGCCGGCTAATGAGGGAGATGGGAAGCCAGAGGAGACATCCTGGTGCCACTCAAAAGGTGTTCCCCTCCCTGCCTTCAGGCACGCGAGAGAACATGCAAGGAGCCGTGTCCTGGAGATGGGGGGGATAAGGAAAACATCTTCTAGGAGTATCTGTCACTATCTTGGTCTTCACAGGAACACACCATGTAACTGAGGGATGTTAAGATCTGGCCCCGTGTCTTAGGTCACATGACCAAGTTTGGGAGTTGTGAATGTGTGAATGGGGAATACTTATGAATGGTCATGATGAATTTTGACCCTGGAGTAGGCTAGGGGAGGGCAGTGGGGGAGGACAAGCCCAGGACCAAAGTGTGTGTGTATATTGGCGGGTGCAGGGGTGGTTGGGAGGTGGAGTCAGGGAGGAAACAGATGTAGCTAGGAACAAGAGAACTAGTGAGGAATAACTGACCTCCTCCAGGACAGTGAGCCGGAACAAGTGAAGGGGTGGCCAAGCGTTTAGTGAATGACGGCAGCCATTTCTGGCAGGAGGGAGGAGCGAGGACTCAGAGGAGAAGCCCAGTATGGGACCAGTGTGTCAGCAGGGAAGAATCCCAGGTTGTAGCCGGAACAGGACTGCTATTTTTTTTTTCTAGGACTTCCCTTACACTGAATTTAATTGCTGAAAATGTCTTGGTCATTGGATTAAACAACAAAAACAACAAAATGCTGAGTCTAGAGATTGTGTGTGATTTGTTGAACAAGCCATTCTGGGGAGCCTCATTTGCTACCCCGCTGCTTTGGCTGTTCCAGGCCTGGTTGGCAGAGCTTGGAAAAACAACTGGTTGGGCTCAGCTTCCCTTGGTCCTGGAGGGGAGCAACGCTGGGTGTGTAGACAAGCGTTTGGCTGGGTTATGGGAAAACACAGCCAATGAGGATGAGTGTGGCGTGCTGGGCCCATCTGCACTGGGTGTGTTCTTGGGGGGTTGGCTGTTGACCTGAGTTGGGGTGGTTGCTCTCTCTGGATGGTGAATCTCACAAAAAATTAAAATAGGCTACCTGCACATGGAGAGTCAACTTGTGGTCTTGGCTTTAGAGACGCCATGTTGGAATCTAGAAACATCCAAACTTTCCTGATGGTGAGTAACACCAGGGCTATCTGGAGGTGCCTCTGAAACATAAAGGTTCCTAGGATGGACCGTGGACATCAGAATAGGTTGAGATGAAAGTGAATGTGGCAAATCCTGCCATTGGTGGTGGTGGCCTATTGGCTTCCCGGTGGATAGAGGTGGAGTTAAATTTGTCAGGTAAGACATGGGGCACCAGTTACACTTGAATTAAACAACGGGTATGTATTATATAAGTATGTCCCCCATGTTTGCTAAATTTGGCAGTCCTAAAGTGGAAGGAAGTACTTAAAAATATATAGAGGAGAGAAGGTAGAGAAACTCCTACTCAGCATGATGTCCAGAGATTTGCTGGTGTAGGCAAGCAGAAGTTTTCTCTGGGCGTTTTGTTTTCTTTGTGTTTGTAGGGAGAGGTATAAACCTTTCCTTGTATTTGTAGGGAGAAGGTATAATATTATTTTATTTCTTTTGAGTAATGTCATTTTGTTCTTACTTGTCTGCTGCTTTTCCTTTCTTTCTCCTTTTCCTTTTAAATATTTTTTATGGTGCTGGGGGTAGAATCCAGGGCTTCATACCTGTAAAACGTGCTCTCCTACTAAGCCATGTCCTTTGTCCATTGTTTCTTTCATTCTGGAAGGTAAGCAATCTTTTTTGAGAGTTTTGTCTTGACTTCTTGTTGTTGCTGTTGTTGTTGTTATTGTTTTGAGACCACACTGGTGGTGCTCAGGCTTTACTCCTGGCTCTATACTCAGGGGTCACTCCTGACAGGCTCAGGGGACCATGTGCAAGGCAAATGCCCTACCTGCTATACTATCTCTTCAACCCTTGTTATTATATTTTTATTATTTATTATTTATTATTTTATTTTTGGGTCACACCTGGCTATGCACAGGGGTTACTCCTGGCTCTGCACTCGGAATTACTCCTGGTGGTGCTCAGAGGGCCATATGGGATGCTGGGAGTCAAACCCGGGCCAGCCACGTGCAAGGCAAACGCCCTACCTGCTGTGCTATTGCTCCAGCCCCTTGTTATTATATTTTTAAAGTACATTAAAAGTGTTCCTCCCCATTAGCAATAGCATTTGATACTAATAACTGAAAAACAAAAATGTCTTCCTCTTCCACTACTCTTTCTTTTTTTCTCCTCCATACTTTCTGTGTGTTCAAGTGATATTTTTTGTTCTCACAAGATGTCCATGAAGAGATCTGTGTTGATTTTTTTTAAAATTTGGGGTTGTTTAGTAGTGATCTGGGAGAAAATAAATACCAAAGTCTATTGTACCTTGTTCTCAAGAAAAGGCCAGAGAGATAATAGAGTCTGTAGGGTGTTTGCTTGCATGTAGCTGACCTGGGTTCAATCCCTGGCATCCCATATGGTCCCCCGAGCACCACCAGGAGTAATTCATGAACACAGTCAGGAATAGCTGGGTGTGGCCCCCAAACAAAACAAAATCAAAAAGAAGAGAATCCCTTTCTATTTGCATTTATTTGTCTATACCCTATCAAATAAGGTTTGAGTATATCTGATGTATATTGAATATATCTAAAATATATATGTGCACATATATGTTCTCCCCTTATTTCTTTTAGTTTTTGAGCCACACTCAGAGGTGCTTACACACCCGAGGTTAACTACTGGCTGTGATCAGGGGTCACTCCTGGCAATACCCAAGGATCATAAGTGGTGCCAAGTATTGAACTAGAGCTGGCTACCTGCAAGGCAAGCACCCTGACCTCTGTACTATTTCTGTGGTCCTGATCCATGTCTATTTTTTTGCTTTGGAGGCCACACCCATAGGGCTCAGGGGCTATTCCCAGCTCATTGCTCCGGGGTTCATCTTGGTCCTGGCATTTCTGCATGCAATGCAGGTGCGTCTGTCTGTTTGAGTCATCTCTCTGGCCCTCCCTCTTTAAAAATAAAAAGGGTTTAGAGTTAATTTCAGAGTTAGGTTTATGTTTATGGTGAGGGGATAGGGTTAGTCTGATCTTAGGGTATAATAATGTATTTTGGGTTAGCAGTAGGGTTGGTTTAGAGGTTAGGTTAATGATTAGGTTTAGCATTAGTGGTAGGGTAGGTTTTTGATTATTGCGATTTTTGCATCTTGAGAGCATTTCATATTCATGGTTTTATTTTATTCCTTGACCAATCCGATGATGCAGCAAAGATAATGGTAATTATTCATGTTGTACTTTCCCAATTTTGCAGATGGGATTAATGAATGGTAGGAGTAATGGCCTGTGTCATTCACCCAGGAAGGGGTGGGGACTCAGCTTGCGCAGCTCTGTGGATTGGAATTTCCTACCTCGATGCTGGGGATCTTCCCTTGGGTCTTGGTTATTTTTGCCCTTCTCTGTAATATCCGGTCTCACTGGGAACTGTCACTTAATATTCCCCCCCTCCCCATTTTCTCTTGGAGTGACCTGGACACAGTCCTTCTACCTTTCCTGCCTGGGTTACTGAGGGAATGTTGCCTGCGGGGGTTGAGGTCATTGCCTTTGGGGACAGAACGAGTTTAGGGAGAGCTTGGCGGGAAGCCTGTTGTATTCCTGACCTCTGATGTCACTGGCCACAGAGAGAGGGAGGGAGGCAGTTTTGTTTCTCAGTGTTTATATTTCTAAGGAAATCCATAACAAACCAGAAAGACTGTCAGAAGACAGCACTTCAAATCTTCAATCACTGTCATGTTAGAAAACGAGGGGCCAGGAAATTCCCTCCTAAAGGTTTCCTCACTCTGCTCAAGCAGCCCGAAGAGGCAGCCGGCCTGGGCACTTTTGTTCAGTCTTCTTTGTCCCTCCTCCAACCCGTGTCTCAGCACCGGAGAGGATTAGCCTTCCTACACCCTGGTCTGTCCAGTTTTACTTTCTTAGGAAGCTTTCCTCGAGCTCTCACTTTTGCCACCTACTTTGGGCAAGGTACTGAACTTCTCCAAGCCTCAGATTTCTTACCTATAAACACTGGCTTCCTTGGTGCAACCTCTCAGCCTCGAGTGTTCGCTCCAGTCTTGTAAGAACTGTGACGGTCCGGTTGCAGCAGCCCCTGGGGAGTCCTTATCGTTCCCCTGACAGGCAGCAAGTGTTCAAGAAACAGTGAGAGGCTTGTTTGGGGGTCCTGTTTGGGGTATTCATCGAATTTCTAGATATGGTTGTGTGGGCGTGGGGGAGGACCTCAGCCTAGATATTGTGAAATGGGTCCAGGGAGGGTTTTTCCTGCCATTTCCGGCCAGTCCCCTCCTCCTGGCAGAGTGCCCTCATGGACTTGGGTCCGTACCAGGCTGGCTGCGTGGGCCGAATGTCAGAGCTGGAGGGGACCAAAAGTGTTGTGTCTCCTCATCCCCTGTTGGAGCGGGGAAAATCTGGGGCACAAAGGAGGGAAAGGGAACGTCCGGGGTCACATGGCTAATCAGTGGCAGACCTGGCCCTGACCTTTCCGGATTCCATCGTGCTTTCTAGTACAACGGGTCCCGTTTTCAGGACTCATGTGCAACATACACAGGGCCCCCAGAGGTCCAGGGGATGCGAGCCAGAGTTTTTGGAAGGGTACTCAATGTCCCCTTTGTTCTGGGCAGAGAAGGAAGAGGCAGCTGTCAGTTACCCTGTTAATCAGTGGCCTGGAATCATGGGAGTTTCCCAGGCTTGGAGCCTTCATTCATAAGTGTATTATCCAGGAACTATTTAGAGAGCATCGCCTAATACTGGCTAGCCTTTGTTCATCATATTTACTATTAGTTTCTTTGCAGCCTTGCCCACAGTGCTGGGTGCCACCAGGCTTGTACCTGGTGGCACTTGAGATGCTGTGGTGCCTGGCACTGGAGCCGAGCCTCTGGCCCGCTGAGCCTGCACTTGAGGCCTTGGAGTCCTCTCCTGGGTGATGCTGCAGGTGCTTCCTTCTGTACAAGGGACCTAGGGGTGTCTTGGGGAAGACCACCCAGCTCATTTCTGCAGCCTTTGCTTTGAAGTACCTTAAGCTCCTGACCCCTGGGAGGGGGCCCCTTCCACCCTGGTCACAGGGATCCACCGGGCTCTCTGTCTTGCAGGCCTTGCCTCCGGGCTCACCCCGCTGTAACCTGAAGGCGAATCTGCTGAAGGATAAGTGTGCCCCGGAGTCCATCGAGTTCCCCATCAGCGAGGCCCGCATCCTGGAGGCCAGGCCCCTCAGCGACAAGGCCTCCGGAGACAGCTCCCAGGTCACTCAAGTCAGTCCGCAGAGGATCGCTCTCCGACTCCGGCCAGGTAGGAAGGGATCCCGGAGAGACGGGGCGTAGGGCGCCAGGTGGAGGGCTGGGCGGAGACTGAACAGGAAGCAGCTCTGCAGAGGAGCGTGAAGAATGGAAGGCAGTGCCAGGGTCTGGGACTTGAGGCGAGGCCTCGGTTTTGATCTTGACTCTATCCATTCTAGCCCTTTGACTTGAGGAAGGTCGTAAACCCTTCTCTAACCTGGCAAGTATTTGGAAAACCTTTGCTGCTTTTCCCCCCAAATTCTACCTAGTGCTTTGTGTTGAGGGGCAAGTGAAAGCCAAGAAAGCAATTTGGAAATCCCTTTAATATGTGAATTTGGGGGCCAGAGCAATAGTACAGTGGGTTTGGCATTTGCCTTGTATCGACCGATCCTGGTTGATTCTCAGCATGCCACATAGTCTTCTGAGCATTGCCAAGAGTAATGCCTGGGTGCAGAACCAGGAGTAACCCTTGAATATCTCGAGGTGTGACACCCTCCCCCCCAAAAAAAGTAAAAAAATAAGCATGTTTTTGGAATAAAGCCCAAGGTGTAAGGTTGGGTGCAGAGAAAACCGGGATAGGGAGGGAAGAGATAGGCTAAGAGTTTTTTTTTTTTAACATTGATTTTATTTTTCTGAATATGCCAGAAGAATTTCAGAAGTACCTTCTATAATGGACTGAGGGAATAGGTCTGCAGTGGGGCATTCGCCTTGTGTGTTTGAGACCTCTGGGATTGCTCCTTGGAACTGCAGAACAAATATACAAGAAAGAAATAGGCAATAGTACAGCAAGCAGGGCACTTGTCTCGCACTCAGCTGACCCAGGTTTGATCCCGGCATCCTATTTGGTCTCTTGAGCCCAAAGTGAGTGATCCCTGAGCACAGAACCAGGAGTAAGCTCTGAGCACTTATGGGTGTGGCCCCCAAATAAAACAAAAACAAAACAAGATTAGGAGAGTCAAGAGATAGGAGAGGAATAGACCTGGCCGGGGTTGAGGAGAAGGGACCAGCGCTTTCCAGTCTGGTGTGATCAGGAAGTTACTTAATTCCAACTTTGACCAAATCCACTCATCAAATGTGAGAGGGAGAAGAGAAAAACAAACTTCCTTCTGCTTTCCAGATGATTCCAAGAGTTTCTCCGTCCACGTTCGGCAGGTGGAAGATTACCCTGTGGACATCTACTACTTGATGGACCTGTCGTACTCCATGAAGGATGATCTGGGGAGCATACAGAACTTGGGGACCAAGCTGGCTTCCCAGATGCGCAAACTCACAAGTAATCTGCGGATTGGCTTTGGGGCCTTTGTGGACAAACCTGTGTCACCATACATGTACATCTCCCCACCAGAGGCCCTCAGAAATCCTTGCTATGAGTAAGTCTTCTCGGTATCAGTGCAGCACCTCCCCCGTTTGTCTCAGGCATGTCCAGCTTCTGATTTTTGTTTATTGTTTGTTTTTTTGGGCCATACCTGGTGATGCTCAGAGTTGACTCCTGGCTCTGCACTTAGGAATCACTCCTGGTGGGCTCAGGGTACCCTATGGGATGTTGGGGATGGAACCAGCTTGGTCGCGTGCAAGGCAAACACCCTCCCCGCTGTACTGTTGCTTCCCCAACCCTACAAGTCCTGATCTTTATTTCTGGCTCTTGTGTGTCTTTGCCAGCTGCCTTCTGGCCAAGTCTTCTCTCCTTTCTACTTCGGCCTCCCCGGCTGGCAAGCAAGCTGTTCTGTTGGTGTAGAGTGGTAGAAATCTCCACTTCCCAATCTTGGTCACAAATAAAGGCAGCAGGAAAGCCTTGCTGGTAAAGGAGGCACAAAGTAGATGGGAATCTATGAAATAGTAAATCGAGGAATTATAATTTCAGAAGAGACGATTCCATGGTTGTCTTACCCCTCAAGTGTGAGTCCTGCAGGATTAAAATGAAAGAAATTAAGTTCTGGAGAAATAGAAAAGAATAAAAATGAGGGCCAAAGTGAGAGTGCAGCAGATAGGGCACTTGCCTTGTATGCAGACAAACCAGGTTTGATCCCCAGCATCCCATATGGTCCCCCGAGCACTGCCAAGAGTGATTCCTGAGTACAGAGCCAGGAATAACCCCTGAACACAGTCAGGTATAGCCTAATATATATATATATATATATATATATATATATATATACACATATATACACTGTAGCACTGTAGCACTGTCCTCCCATTGTTCGAGTTGCTCGAGCAGGCCCAGTAACGTCTCCATTGTGAGACTTCTTATTACTGTGTTTGGCATATCGAATACAACACAGGTAGCTTTCCAGGCTTTGCCATGCCGGCGAGATACTCTTGGTAGCTTGCCAGGCTCTCTGAGGGGGGCGGAGGAATCAAACCCAATATTTATTAAATCCTTTGATATATCTGTATTGACAACTAGTTTACGAGTAAATAATTTATTTCTTATTATTTGGGGGGTCATTGAACCACATATGGCAGTACTCAGGGAACTGATTACATATGATTTGGTTTTGTTTTGTTTTGTTTTGGGGGTCATAGTCAGTGATGTTCAGGGTTTACTCCTGCCTCTGCACTCAGGAATTACTCCTGACGTTGCTCGGGGAACTATATGGGATACTGGAGATTGAATTCAGGTTGGCCATGTGCAAGGCAATTGCCCTTCCTGCTGTACTACTGCTCCAGCCCCAGGCCTGGCTTTATGTGGTTGGCTGTAGAATCCAACTGGGGTGGGCCTCATGTGAGGCTGGTGTCTTACTCCCTGTGTTATCTTTCTGTTCCCAGGGCTTCTTTTTTAAATTGGTGGAGACCTGCAAATTCATGGATTTTCATGATTTAAAATGATGGCTAATGAGTCCGATGAAGTGTGAACTAATCTTTAAGTTTTCAAAGTTATGGGATGCGATCATATATTTCCCTGATATAGATGTCACCATCTAGCAAGCAGATAAACACACCATAAGGCTGGGGGCAGATGCATCTCCTTGGCACTTCTTTATTGCTTTATTGATTGCTCAGGAATGTTAAGTTACAGATAAACTGGTGCTCTATTGCGCTTAGCGTGATGTCAGGGTGTGAGCAGAGGTAGTAGCACCAGAGCCTCACATATGCGCACTGCTTTAACACCTATCAGTTTAGATGCTGACGTGTCACAAGGACCTTTCGGAGACAGGGATTCCCCTTAGTTTTCGGGGTAGGGGCCAAACCCAGAGGTGCTCAGGGGCTCCTTGTGACTCTGGCCTTGGGGGTTACTCCCAGCAATTCTCAGGGGACCATGGCGGTGCTGGGAATGAAGCCTGGGGCTCCCTCAGGCCCCACATGTGCGTCTCCCTGACCCCAGCCCCTTCTCCTTCCCTCCGCTCCCTTGCAGCTTTCCTTCGGGTGTTTGCTCTAATGGTCTCCCTCCTCCCCAGCATGAAGACCACCTGCTTGCCCATGTTCGGCTACAAACATGTGCTGACGCTCACTGACCAGGTGACCCGCTTCAACGAGGAGGTGAGGAAGCAGAGTGTGTCACGGAACCGAGATGCCCCTGAGGGGGGCTTTGATGCCATCATGCAGGCCACAGTGTGTGATGTGAGTAGGAGGTGGGGTGGGCACAGCAGGGAGGGCAGGGGGTCAGCTGGGGGCGCGTCGGTGGGGCAGCAGAAGCAGGAGCTCAGCAGGTCTCTGTGGAGGATGGCAGACCTTCCTCCTCCTCCTCCTCCTCCTCCTCCTCCTCCTCCTCTTCTTCCCCTTCTCATCCTTCCCTCTTCCTCCTCCTCCTCCCCTCCTTTGTCCCCCTTTCTCCCTCCCTCCTCCTCCCTCTCCCCCCTTTCCTTCTCTCTCTCTCTCTCTCTCTCTCTCTCTCCTTTCTCTCTCCTTTCCCTTTTTGTGTCATTTGCGTCTGGTGGTTAGCAGTTACTGAAAGTGTATCATGCACATCACTTTATCTCCTTTCAGCACTCAGTTCTTGTCCATCATTTCCAACTATCATTGTCATAGAGGTCTCTTCTGTGTCCTAACTGCACTCCTCTCCCTTGTGGTAAACTTCTTAGCATGGACCAGTCCTCCTGGCCCTCAATTCTGTGTTCTTTGGGTGTTAGTCTCATACTAGGTTATTTTTACATCCTGCAAATGAATGCGGTCATCTACGTCCCTCTCCCTCTGATTCATTTTAATCAGCGTGATACTCTCCATGTTCATCCATGTATAAAAAAATTTCCTGACTACATTTTACCTGACAGCTGCATAGTATTCCATTGTGTAGATCTGCCATAATTTCTTTATCCAGTCATCTGTTCTTGAGCACTTGGATCTCCAGATTCTGGCTATAGTGAAAGTGGAGGCAGTTTTTTTTTTTTTTTTTTTGGACCATGGAATCATCATTGAAAAACTTTGACTTGGAACTGAAAGGGAGCTTTTGGAGACTGTTCTCCTAGAAGAGAGCCTGTGCAGTTGGAAAGATCGAGCGTGTGTTTTGAGACCTGGACTGAGGCTGGGCGGGGGGGTGGTCCTTTCTAGACCTGGGGCAGCGGGGAGGGGGAAGCTTGTGTGTTTGTTTTCTACCAGTGACACAGCTAAAGTTGGTTTCTCTCCTTTGCCCTTGGTCCTGCATTCTTTTAAGGACAAGGTTGGCTGGAGGAACGATGCTTCCCACTTGCTGGTGTTCACCACAGATGCCAAGACTCACATCGCCCTGGATGGGAGACTGGCCGGCATTGTCCAGCCCAATGATGGACAGTGCCACGTTGGCAGAGACAACCATTACTCTGCCTCCACGACCATGGTGAGAGTCTGGAAGGTTCCCTACCTGGGGCTGGGGCAGGTGTGGCCCAGGGAAGGGCTTTCTGTGAATGTCTGGGTGGGAGTCTTCCCTCTGGGCAGCGTGAAGGCCGGTTCAGTCTGCCCCAGTACAGACACCCTGGACACTCCCCTCCAGGGCCCAGCCTGCACTAGCCCCAGAGAATTAGAGATGTTGTGGCCCGTGGTTAGTAAGACCCTGTGCACTTCCCGCCCCCTGTACCACAAACAACGTCATGGCAACCAGAGCACCCCAAAGGGCTTGCCCAGGTCCAGCTAGAGAGGGCCTTTACCTGTCCTCAGGATCCGATGAGCACTCAGTGTACAGTGCTCACTGCGATTATTGGGAGAAGATAGAAAAAAATGCACAGATGCTCCCTCTTGGCGACTTGGTGGCTGTCATCCTCCAGAGGCCATTGAACAGTCAGGCTTGGGCCCGCAGTGACGAAACTTGTTGGGTCTCACGGGATGAGGGGGGAGGTGGAGCCGGGCCTGTCTTCCCCACCCCAATGAGACCCCATGTCATCGCCCACGAATGGCCTCTTTGGCTCCTCATCAAGCTGCTCAACGGCCATGATCCCAGAGACTCAGGAGCAGATCTCTAAACCCAGTGGCTTTTGGCAGAAATCCCTCCAGATTTAAGTGTTAAAATTTCAGAATTTCAAAACCACTTGGCCCTACTGCAGCCACACGACATCATATGTTATTCATAACCAGCAATAGAACACAAATTGTCTATTGTTGCCTTTTCAGCAGATCTGAGTGTTGGGGTAAAATCTTAAATAATGGTGGGTCTGGTGTCGAAATAGTGAATGTGATCAAAGTAGAGAGAGAGTAAGGTAGAAATCATCTGCCCCACAGGCAGGGGGAGGGTGAGGGGTGGGTGTATACTGGGATTTTTGGTGGTGGAGAATGGGCACTGGTGAAGGTACGGGTGTTTCATTGTATGACTGAGACTTAGACCCAAAAGCTTTGTAACTGCTCTCACGGTGATTCAATAAATAAAATTATAAAAAATGGAAAAAGAAAAAAAAAGTAAGGTGAAGTTCATGCACAATTCAATCAGCTAATCAGTGGCTGAATAAATAGCAGTACTCCTACAAAAAAAGAAAAAAAATGCACAGAGCATCCAAAGGTGGGAGACAGCATGTGTGAGGCTGGGCGAAAGACTCAGGGACATTTTACATCAAGAAAAGCTGGGGGGAGGAGTGGGCATGAACCCACCCACGAGATTTAACTGTATTCTGTTGTTGCATTGTAGCACTGTCCTTCCATTGTTCATAGATTTGGGGTTCAGTGAAATCATTGTTCATAGATTTACTTAAGCAGGCACCAATAATGTCTCCATTGTGAGACTTGTTACTGTTTTTGGCAAATTAAATATGCCACAGGGAGCTTGCCAGGCTCTACCATGTGGGCGGGATACTCTCGGTAGCTTACCGGGCTCTCTGAGAGAGATGGAGGAATCAAACCCAGGTCAGCTGCGTGCAAGGCAAACGCCCGCCCTGCTGTGTTATTGCTCCAGCCCTTTGTTGTATCAGGGAGGGTTAAATAAGAGGGGTTTAAATTAAAATGGGAGAAATTTCTATAAGTCAGAAAAAAATATATATATATCCAGACACTAGGAAGGCTGATACTGACCCTGAGTAGGGCTGGTGAGTCTGACATGCAGAGGCCCTGGATTCTACCCCTGGAACCGTGTGGTCCCCTGCTAGATGTGGCCCTTGTGTCCTCTGAGCACTCCACTCCTGGCCAGAGCAACACTGTATAGCTGGACCTGAGCTTGGACATGCCTGGGCCTGCAGAACCAGAAGGAATATCACCAGGATGGCCCCTGGACCGCCTAAGCACTACTTGAAGGAAGAGAACAACTCTAGCACTCTGCTCTGCCTAGTTTGGCTGGAGAAGGTGGAAACTCTTCAATCTCTCTTTTTTTGGGGATAGGGGGTGGAGGCAGTTTCCATGAAGCGCTCAGGGTACCCAGTAGCCATTCATGCTGCTACTTGACCAACCAGGCCGGACAGCTCAATGCAGGGGCCCCAGGATACGGCCTCAGGGACTACACCCATTGGTTCTTGGGGAACAAACTATGTGGGCAGCAGGGCTCAAACCAGGGTTGGGTGCCCCTGACGCCCATGTCATCTTCCCAGCCCCTTCCTAGCTCTATTTAAAAGTTTAGGCTCAGGGCCAGAGCGATGGTACAGCAGGTAGGGTGTTGCCTTGCATGCGGCCGACTGGGTTCAATCCCTGACATCCCACATGGTCCCCCAAGCACCGCCAGGAGTAATTTCTGAGTGCAAAGCCAGGAGTAATCCCTGAGCATCCCTGGGTGTGACCCGAAAAGAAAAAAGAAAAAAAAAGTTTAGGCTCATTTCTTTCTTTATGGGCTCTCCAGGCAGTGCTCACGGGACTTGGAGTCACTCCTGGCAGTTCTCAGCCAAGTGGTGCTGGCGATGCAGAGTAGCTCTGTGGCCCTGGCTCCCAAGACCTGCTGGATACTGGGGGGAGGATAAGGGTCCAAGGAATAAAGTCAGGGTCTTGTGCCTGCCAGGCAGATGCTCTAGTCCCATGAATCCTCCCCTGTCCCTGAACTCTTTACATCTTTATTTATTGGCTTTTGGGCAACACCCGGTGGTACCCAGTCTTACTCCTGACTCTGTGTTCAGGGATTATTTAAAGGCCATATAAGGTGCCAGGGATGGTAGCTCAGTTACCCTGTGGAAGGTAAATACCTTACCTTCTGTACTATTGATCCAGTCTCTCTCTCTCTCTCTCTCTCTCTCTCTCTCTATTTGTTGCTTTATTTTGGATCACACCCAGTGATCCTCAGGGGTTGCTCCTGGCTCTGCACTCAGGAATTACTCCAGGCAGTGCTTGGGGGACCATATGGAATGCCAGGGATCAAACCTGGGTCAGTCGTGTGCAAGGCAAACACCCAACCCACTGTCTTATTACTTCAACCCCCGCCTCTTTATCTCTTTAAAGACCATAGAGCCGCCACTTTTTTAGGTGACTTAAAGGGAACCCTGTGTTAAAAGTAAGGGACTGAATGGGATGATCTCATGAGCTCCCTCGGACCCCCAGGACACATCCCCAGCTCACCAGGGTCCCCAGTGTCACCTGAGTTCCTTAGTGCTAGCCATACCCAAGGCAGTAGGTGAATTTGTGCAAGGCACCTCAGCCTGGATGCAGGGAGATGAGAGACACTACAGAAGCCTCCCCTTTGGGGGTTTCAGGGTTTGGTGGAGGAGCTATCCTACTAAAGAGACAAGCAAATGGCTAGTGCTAACTGGGTAACTAGTAAGGACTTGAGGTGTTGAGAGGGGGCAAGCTTGTTAGCTGGGATGGTCAAGGAGGGCCTCAAGAGAAAGTGGGGCTCAAGTTGGGTCTTGTGGAAGGAGGATAATGGAAAGGAAGGCTAAGCCAGGTGAGAGAATGAGAGTGAGCCCAGTGGTGAGCAGAAGGAAAGTAGTAAATGATGACGGGAAAGGGGGGTCGGAACCCCACGGTGGGAGACTTGGAGTGCCTAGCCAAAGCGTTGCAGAAGGTTTCAGAGAAGAAAGACGTTTCCAAATGAGAAGGCCCACCCAGACCCTGGCATGTGGAGAGGGTACCTAATTCAGGTACCACGAGTCTGCAGCTCTTCATATCTCCTTGGGGTTAATAGTTAGGATTAACCTAACTATTGATTCAATTCACCTTTTTTGCCTTATATTGAGCAGAGGGTCAAAGGAGCGCCACTGTTTGGGCCATTAGCCTAGAGAGCAAATGGCCTATGCATAAGGTTCATTATCCAGGGATCAATCTGGGTGATGCATTTTGACTCACTTCCGTGTCCTTCCTTCCCCCAGGATTATCCGTCTCTGGGGCTAATGACAGAGAAACTATCCCAGAAAAACATCAATCTGATATTTGCTGTGACTGAAAACGTAGTCAAACTCTACCAGGTGACTGTTTCCTGCGCTTCCTGGTTTGGGGGTGGGCGGCGAGGTGACCTGTCTCTGCTGTTGGCTGTGGTCCCTGTTCCGGAAGGGCCTCTCCAGCTTGCTCCCGGAGCTAAGGATTCCTCTCTGCTTCTCTCCTGCTCTCTGTCTGGATAGGCTGATGGTGCAGTCCTTCGATCGGTGGAAAATCACCGGCTCTTTTCCTGGCAATAGCGAGCCAGCTACCCTGCCTTTCCTTTAGGCTCTGTCTGATTTGGGGTGGGGGGACGCTTTCAGAGACTCCTCCCCCTACTCCCCTGCCACCCCCCCACCCCCACCACACACACACCCGTCTGCTGTCCTGCTGTACTTTAGCTCTCTCACTCCTGAACTTCTGTTTTTCCTAGAACTACAGCGAGCTCATCCCGGGGACCACGGTGGGGGTGCTGTCTGCTGATTCCAGCAATGTGCTCCAGCTCATCGTCGATGCTTACGGGGTAGGTGTCCTGTGCTGGGAATGGGCCTGCTGAAAGCCCACCTTGCTTGGGCCTTACCCAGACTGGCTCAAATGTGGGAATCCTGGTGGCACATACACCAGGCAGCCCTCCTCCCGTTCTTCCAGGCCCCTGGCAACCCCCGGGCAACCCTGCAGCAACACAACCTCTTGAGAATGAAATGACACAAAAAGCCAGGCCAGCGAGTGTCAGGAGGGAATGGACATTTGGAGGGGATGGGGGTGGCTAAGAAGACGTTGAGGATGGTGATGAGGAAGGAAGGTGGGATTGATGGAGGGACTTGGGAGATGCTGCTGACCGCAGTGACCTGCAGTGACCTAGACCTTGGGATGCTCTGGTGGCTCTCAGGCCAGCCAGAGGGAGCCCAGGGCTTCCTGGAGTTTCTTAATTCATTTCCTGTTCTTCTTCTGCCCTTTCTGCTCAGAAAATCCGCTCTAAAGTGGAGCTGGAAGTGCGTGATCTCCCCGAGGAGCTGTCTCTGTCCTTCAATGCCACCTGCCTCAACAACGAGGTCATTCCCGGCCTCAAGTCTTGCGTTGGACTCAAGATCGGAGACACGGTGAGGTGGGCTGGCTCGGGGCTGGTGCGTCTGCCTCTGGCCTGTGCCTCCGAGTCTCTGCAGGTGTCCCCCAGTCCCTGTGCTTTCCTCCTGAAAGCATGACACGTTAGGAGTAAGGGGTCTGCCAGTTTCCATCACCTTCAGTACTCGCCGGGGGGTGGGGGGGTGGGGGGGGGAAATCTTTACTAATCATTTAGGTTCCTTCTCTTTGTTCAGTCATTTGCAAATGAAATAACTCCTTCCCTTCCACCTTTCCAGTGAATACCTTTCTTCCCTTTCACACTATAAGGTAGAGTCTCGGCTACACATGTTTATTGGGCACAGACTCCATAACTGGCCATGTTCTGGGAATTGCAACTTCAGTGAAAGAACAGGCTAAAATACCCACCCACATGGCATTTCAGGCTGCAAAGGGTTTTTTTTCTGCTTTTTGCGTCACACACCAAATGTACAGGGGTTACTCCTGGCTCTGCACTCAGGAATTATTCCTGGCGGTGCTTAGGGGACCACCTGGGATGCTGGGAATCTAACCCGGATTGGCCGCATGCAAGGCAAATGCCCTATTCACTGTGCTATTGCTCCAACCCTCTCAGGCTGCGAAGTTTATATCATCCCTCTGTTCTTTCTCTGACACTCCTCCTTGGTGCTTGGGTCTCCTCAGCTTCTGCCTAAAGATTTTGTGAGGAAGGAGGGAGGGTAGGAGATGTCTCTCTCTGTACGGAGAGGTACCATCTTTGTATCTTCATATTTTTTTCTTTTGTATATCTATGTCTCCTCTTTCTGTCCACTTATTTAATTCTAGACACATGTGTACATTCTGTGTAAGGAGAATTAATTGGTTTGAAATATGTTTAATTGGAGGACAGAGTGATGGTATAGTAGGTTGGACACTTGCCTTGCATGCAGCCAACCTGAGTTCGATCCCTAACACCTCGTATGGTCCCCTGAGCACTGTCTGAGCACAGAGTCAGGAGCAACCCCTGAGAGTTGTCACATGTGGTCCAAACACCACCACCCCCAGCAAAAAATATGTTTGCACAAGTGCTGAAATGTCATGTGGAAAGAGAAGCAGAGATTCTGAGCCTGTGTTGGGCTGCTATGGAGGAAAGAAGTACCTTGTGCTTCCTGCAATATTTCTCCACCAGTCCAAGCTCTTTTAGTTGGCCCGAGTGCCACATCACAGGTTCTCTTCTTTTTGAGCTGCTTTATGTCATATGTGCTATGGAAGGAAAGACAGCATCTCACACTATGGGCTGGGGTCTGCACCCGACCCGTATCTCTCAAGTATACAGCAATATAAACAAGCCACAGATTCTTGTTTTTCTCCACAGACCCTAGGAGTGGGAAGGATGTCCTCGGGTTCTGGGAGAAGCCCCCGCACCCTGTCTGGGCTTGTGGGGCAGGGAAGGGAACAGGTTTCCTATAGGACCAGAGTATTAGGTCCAGGTGCACCTGCAACTCAGTCCGCCCTTGCTTCCTGTGCAGGTGAGTTTCAGCATCGAGGCCAAGGTGCGCGGCTGCCCCCAGGAGAAGGAGAAGTCCTTCACCATCAAACCCGTGGGCTTCAAGGATAGTCTCACCGTCCAGGTCACATTTGACTGTGACTGTGCCTGCCAGGCCCAGGCAGAACCTTCCAGCCAGCGCTGCAACAACGGCAATGGGACCTTTGAGTGTGGGATGTGCCGCTGTGCACCCGGCTGGCTGGGGTCCCAGTGTGAGTGCTCCGAGGAGGACTATCGTCCTTCCCAGCAGGATGAGTGCAGCCCCCGTGAGGGCCAGCCTGCCTGCAGCCAGCGGGGTGAATGCCTCTGTGGCCAGTGCGTCTGCCACAGCAGTGACTTTGGCAAGATCACAGGCAAGTACTGCGAGTGTGATGACTTCTCCTGTGTCCGCTACAAGGGAGAGATGTGCTCAGGTGAGTACGACCGACCAAACTGTCTTCCCATGGCACTGTACATGCATGACTCATGCGCACGTGCACACACACACACACACACACACACACACACACACACACACACACAGTGGGCAGAGCAGAGGAGATGCTGCTGTCCAGTGGCAGAAAACAATAAAGGTTTCTCAATTCCCTGTGTCTTTGGAAGTAAAAGGAGTTGGAAGTGAGCCACTACTTCTGGGGGCTTCCCCTTTGTGTCAGTGTAGGAAGAATGAGGGAAGTAGAAAGTGAAAATAGTTGTTTTTTTAACCTTTTCTTTCATCTGTTTTTCTAATAATTTAAAGTATGAAATGTTGATTTTTAAAAATATTTTTGAGGATAAAAATATTTTTTTCTTTTTGGGTCACACCCAGTGATGTACAGGGGTTACTCCTGGCTCATGCACTCAGGAGTTATTCCTGGCGGTGCTCAGGGAACCATATGGGATGCTGGGAATCAAACCCGGGTCGGCCACGTGCAAGGCAAACGCCCTATCCGCTGTGCTATGGATCCAGCCCCAGATAAAAATATTTTTGAGGATTCAGTGGGTTGGACACTTGCCTTGCATGTAGCCAACCCAGGTTCGATCCCCAGCATCCCATATGGTCCCCTGAGGAAAAAAAGAAACCCAAATGTCACTGATGATTACATTTTTAGTATTTACAGATTTGGAAAGGACATGTTATTAGACTATAGAGCAAAGTTAGTAATTATTGTTATCACCTAATTTTTTTTTCACCACAAGAAACATGGAAAAAAGGAGCATATAGATAGGTAAGACATTGGAGCACGTTTAACAGCCAATACATTTAGTACAATGTTGATCATTGATTTGCTCGAGCAGGCCCAGTAACGTCTCCGTTGGAGACTTTGTTGTTACTGTGTCTGGCATATCGAATATGTCACGGGGAGCTTGCCAGACTCTGTCGTGCGGGCGAGATACTCTCGGTAGCTTGCCGGGCTCTCCGAGAGGGGCGGAGGAATCGAACTTGGGTCGTCCATGTTAGCCGCTTGCAAGGCAAACGCCCTACCCACTGTGCTATCGCTCCAGCCCTAGTACAATGTAAGTTTTCTTAAATGTTGGCATTGTTTTATTCTGACTGTTGGTACTATTATTTTTGGATTCCACTTGTGACTAAATTTTAATTAATAGAATTCAGTTTATTTACACTTTAATTTAAAAATTGCGCGGGGGGGGGGGGGGATTTGGGCCATACCTGATGGTGCTCAGGGGCTACTTCTTGCTCTGTGCTTGGGGGTCATACCAGGAAGTGCCAGGAGACCATGCGGCAGTGGGATCAGACTCGAACCTCCTCCATGCAAAGTCTATTCTTAATTCTTTGAGCTAACTCTGCTTCTTTGATTACAACTAACTTAAAATAACTTAGGTCTTCTGTGACTCAAGTGTCACATGTGGCTAGTGGCTATCATGCTGGACAGCACAGATATCTGTCAGATGGCAATGCCATACAGGCCACAGAGGCAGGGGCAGTAAAGATTTGGGGTTCTTATCTGTAGAATGCCCAGTTGTCTTACTAGTAACATATTCAACACATTGGCAAATTGGTTGAGACTAATTTATGAGGATGAGTTTTGGCTGATTGAACAGAGATTACTTGGCTCTTCTGAATGATCAGATCTATGGTCCCAGTTAGCTTCATTTGCACTGAGGTTCAAATCCATCCAGATGTTCACTTTTATTTATTTATCAGAATTATTATTTTTGGTTTGGGGGCTATACCCAGTAGTGATCAGAGACTACTCCTGGTAGTACTTGGGGAACCATGTGATGCTGGGGTTTGAATCAGGACTCTCATGCCAAGCATGTGTTCAGCCCATAGAACTCTCTCTGGCTCCAGGGGTTCACTTTTCGTACCAGCCTTTAAGAAGGCTGGATTAGAAGGTGGGCGAGACAGCACAGAGGTTAAGATGCTTGCCTTGCACGCAACCACCACTGGCTCAAACCCCAGCACTGCCTATGGTTTTTTGAGTACTGTCAGGGATCATTCCTGAGCCTGAAAACCACTAGGTGTGGCCCAAGCAGCCCCAAGTCCCCTCCCAAAAAAGAAATTTTAGGAAAAAGGAAAAACAAGAAGTTTGATTAGGCAGGTTCATCTTTGTCTTTCTAAACAAAGCATGCCCAAGTAATCTACATATGGCTTCTTTTTAATTTCTTTTTCTTTCTTTCTTTTTTATTTTTTTTTGTTTTTCTTTTTGGGTCACACCTGGAGATGCACAAGTATTACTCCTGGCTTTGCACTCAGGAATTACTACTGGCGGTGCTCAGGGGACCATATGGGATGCTGGGAATCAAACCCTGGTCGGCCGCTTGCAAGGCAAATGCCCTACCTGCTGTACTATCACTCCAGCCCCTCTTTCTTGTGTTATGCTTTTACTCTTGCCAGCAAAACTTGAAAGCTTGGAGAAATGCATAATAGAGAGATCAATGGGGAGATCAGGAACACACGAGAGCACATACAAATCACAGTTTAAATTGGGGGTGGGGGGGGCAAGGCCAGAATTTCAGTTTATTTTAATATTTACATCATATTCAGCATTTAGTATCATCTAAATATCTAGTGTTTACGGCCCAACCAAAGTACCTCAGGAAGAGGATAACTATGACTTGGGTGACCCCTGAGGAAAAGGTTGGGCCAGAGGGGGCGGCCCAGAGGGGGCCTCTGGGGTCAGACGGGCTGAAGGCAGTCCACACCTCCTCAGAGCCTGATTGTTTCTGGTCTGGTGTGAGGCAGTGGGGCAGGCATAGATGTATTTCCTTTGGCTGCCAGCCCCACTGAAGCCACAAAACAAAGCACCCAGGGCCAACAGCCGTGGTTCCTGCCTCCCACCCATGCAAGAACAGCTCATCCTCTTGCGCTCCAGACCCATTCAACAGGCAGCCTCCGTCCACCACTTCCTGCCAGGGTGCTGGGTGCCCCCTGGGCCTTAGCTCAGAACCTTGGGGTGCCAACGTCATGTTCCGCATTGAAGACTCCTGGGGATACGGACACATGGAGTGCATGCTCCAGGCCAAGCACACAGTCCCTGTGAGTGAACAGGGTCAGACGTGATTTCTGAGTTAACCCACCATGAATACAGTAATAATAACACAGTAATAAGAATCAGAATCTAACTCGCCATTGTTCCTTCCAGAGTTACTGTGGTCTGTTCTTTGCCACAAGCGGGCATGCTGTGAGTAGACTAGGAGTTTCCTCCTGCCCCCGGCCTCCCCTCTCCAGATCTTCCCACTGGGGAGAGTGTCTTCTTGGTGGTCCCTTCCCAGCCCTCCTGCTTCAAACATCAGGGCACATGTCCATGTCTTAATGGGACCCTCACCTGCCACATCCCTGGGAGTCAGGTTCTGTTCAGGATTGTTGTGGGGTAGGGAGACTGACATAAGCCAGCTTTGCCCTTCATTAACTTACCAAAGGATGATTCCCAACACAGACAGAACCTTCCAGATCTTGGAAGAAGCATGGTTCCCTCCCAGAGCGGTACAGGAAATCTGCAGAGGGAGAGACTCAGTGAGGACAGGGGAGGCCTGAGCGGCTTCATGGAGAAGATGAGATGTTGGTGGAGAGGAGCAGAGTGAGGATGCATGGACCCACAGGGGAAAGCCATGACATTCCCTGGGACCGGAAATGCTTCTCCCTTCCTGTCTCCTCTGCAGGACTCTCTTCTCTACCTGCCTCCTCTTCCTCACCCTCTTTGATTCTCACCCCCTTCCTCTGACTTTCCTATGAGCCCAGGCCCTGCCTCTCGTTTTCTGGAGGAGGGCCAGCTCTGTGACATTCTGTGCTATGGCCGCCTTCTGAGAGCTGCCCCTGCCAGGGCATGGGGTCAGCCTGCCGCCTCTGGCCGACTTCCACTCCTGCCCCCACTCCCTGTTGGCTTGCCAGGCCCAAAGGCCTCTTTGTTCAGCTTCACAAAGGGAAGACGATGGCACTAGGGTTTCTGGGTGCTGCCAGGCCTCTGTGGCATGGCCTTCCCCTGCCTGGGAGTTCTGGTCCAGAGCCGGGTATAGTGGACACTGTGTGGCCCCACGCTTCCAGCTGGCACCCCACGCCCAGCTGCTAGCTTCCATTGCCCCTTCTCCGGAGAATTGCCTCCCTCTGACAGGAGCAGTCTGGCTTTAGCCGTTGGCACATCTCAGATGGACATGGGGTTACACAGGCCTGCCCCTTTGCTCCCTTACCCGTCACGCTCCAGGGCCCACCACTGGCTCTGGCGTGGCCACATTCCTGTCAGCTTCTGACTTGTGCCCTGCTTCCCTCTTTCCTTCCTGCTTCCCCCGCAAGTCATCCAAATAAGAACCTCACCACAACTGTCCTCCTAGGGCAGGACTTAAACTTTACCTACTTGTGACCCCTCTTTGCCCAAAAGAAATGCAACACGGGCGACACCGGCAAACATACCTGATTTCACAAGTTGATTTTGAATTAATGTTTGGTCACTGCATGTTCACAAACCTTTTACTATTTCCAATTTTTTGGTGACCGCCTCCTCGTCCCAGGTTCAGCTATGTGACACCATATGGGATCACGACCTACAGTTTAAGATTGGGTCAAAATTGGGTTCTTGGGAGCGATAGCACAGCGGGCAGGGCATTTATCTTGCACATGGCTGACCCGGGTTCGATTCCCAGCATTTTATATGGTCCCCCAAGCATAGCCAGGAGTAATTCCTGAGTGCATGAGCCAGGAGTAACCCCTGTGCATCGCTGGGTGTGACCCAAAAAAGAAAAAAGAAAATTGGGTTCTTCTCTCCTTGGTTCCCTGCCCTCCTGCTGGTTTCATCTCTTCTCCTCGGGTGGACATGGTAACTGGACCAGATGAGGTTACATTTTCCATTCTTCTGGGAAACAGATATTTCTCTCCAGGATGGTGAAGGCGTGTCTGAGTCTTGATGTCAGTGTGCCTAGAGGGTGGTGCTGGAGTCACAGAAAGGGGGACTCAAAATTGCTCAGAGCTACTAGCTGGACCCAGGCGAGTCACCAGGGAGTAGCAGGCGCCAGTTCATTGCTGTTTGAACCTGGCCATGTGCATCATCTTCTGCTCCTCCCGGACCCATTTTCCACCCAGTGTTCTGGAGTTCAGATCAGTAAAGTTACTTCCCTCTTGCTGATTAACAATCAGATTTTTATTATTCATTCACTTCTTCCTTATCCAGAGTCCTGGAGAATGAGTCACCTTCCAGTAAGGTTTAGAAACCACTACCAAAAGGATTTTTGGATTTAATTTTTTTTTTTTTAGCCCGGCAAGCTACCGAGAGTATTCAATATGCCAGACACAGTAACAACAAAGTCTCCAATGGAGACGTTACTGGGCCCGCTCGAGCAAATCGACGATCAACGGGAGGGCCTTTACCTTTACCTTTACCTTTACCTTTACCTTAGAATATTATAGGGTTTCAGAGTATAGGTTAACACCTTTATATGAATATAGGATTCACTGCACCCACCACCCAAACTCCAGTGCCATCACACCCCACCAAAATGTCCCATCCACCCATTCCTCCAACCCAATTTCCTTTTCCTCTGGTGACCTACACGGCTTTTATGGAATTCAGGATTTTTTGTCATCATCATTGTTTTTTTTGCTAGTTCATTTGCCTTAGTTACGTGCATTCCATATACGTTAAACCATCTGGAAATTAATTACCTTTCATTTCCTGACTCCATTTACTTATTATAACTACCTCAAACTCTATACATTTTTTTTAAGAAAAAGACTGAAAAATTTTAAATGCACTTTTCATCTTTTTAACAGCAGAGTAGTGTTCTCTTGAGTATTTATACCACAGCTGCTTTATCAGTTATGTTTATTGGCATATAGGATCATTCCTATTTTAGCTAGTGTGAATAATGTTGCCATGGGCATAGGGGTGCAAATGTCTTTTTTAGATTAATGTTTTCGTATCTCCCTTGGATAATTTTTTAGGATGGGTATCTCTGACTCATATGCTATTCCATTTATTTATGCATTTGTAGATATTAATACATATATACCTTTGGTGGTACCAGGGTTCAGTTCCAGGGCCTGGCACATCCCCGTGCCCTCTCCATCCCTGACCTCTCCATTTACATATTTTTGAGGAACCTCCTGCTTTTCACAGTTGCTGCTGTGCCAATTACCACCAGAAGTGTACTAGTTTTCTCACTGCATCCTTGCTTGTGTCTCTTGTGTCTAATCTTTTTAAAATAGGCCATTCTCACTGTTGTGAAGTGATATATGATCCAATTTTTATTTTAAGTTAATTCCTACAAGGTTTTGTAGGATCGACACCCAGTGATACCCCATCTGGAGATACTCAGCCCAGTGGAATATCTGATGGCTATGCTCAGCTCAGTGGTATTCAGTGGCTGCTGTATTCATTGTATTCATTGCTATATTCATTAGGGATTGAATTCAAGCCCCAGACATGTGATGCATGTGTTCAACCACTTGAGCTTTCTGCCCCCTTTCTATAAAGCTACTTTCTAAAGCCCCAGTAAATCATAGTCGGTGCAAGCTAGGGAGATAGTTCAGAAGGCCAGGGAGTGTGCTTTGCATGTGGGAAGCCCAGGTTCAATTCCTGGTATTACATTTCTCCTGCATATTTCCAGGAGCGACTCCCAGCACCACCAGTGACCACCCTCCCCCAAATAAAACCAAAATAAGACTAAAACAAATCATCTTAGGGGCTTTGACCGGTCCTTCTCTCCTATTCCTATGCTTTTGTAGCAAACTGGTCTTTCTCGCCAGGGCTTATGTGCAGTTCCGTTCATCAATACACAACAGGGCGCAGGTTAATGCACATGTGTTGTCAAGATCTTGTCTCGTTGTGCCCAGATCGTGGTGTTAGATCAATAGGAATGGATTATAAATGCACAAATTGTGGCTGGAGTGATAGCACAGTAGGTAGGGCACTTGCCTCGGATACTGACAACACAGGTTCAACTTTGGCACCCCATATAGTCCCCTGAGCCCACAAGGAGTGGTCCCTGAGGGAAGGGCAAAGGAGAAAGCTTTGAGCACTGCCAGGTGTGGCCTTCCTTCCCCCTCCCAAAAAAAAAAAAGAAAGAGGGGAAGGGGAAAGCCCACCAATTGTATGTTTCTCTATATCAGTTTTTATGCTACATTTGATGGAAATTTTCCATGATATATTTTCCCCATCAAGGAACTCATAATTTAGAAAAAGAGAAAGAAAGGCAATCAAATGGGTTGGACATATGGACTGATAGAGGAATATGTCAGTGCTGGGAGAATTCTTGGGAAGACCTTTGATTCCTATGTCAGAAAAAGTGACAGGAGGAAGGGAACTCTGAGTTGGGCCTTCAAGGCTAAGAGGGGTTTGGAGAGATATTATAGCAGGTAGAACACTTGCCTTGCAGGCCACCAACCTGGGTTCAATCCCTGGCATCCTATGTGGGCCCCTGAGAACCACCAGTGCAGAGCCAGGAGTAACCCCTAAGCATCACTGGGTGTGGCCAAAAAAAGCAAAACAAGACCCAAAAAGAGGAATTAATGAGTTTGGTGGTAGTTGCAGGATGAAAGGGAATTCGCGGAGGGAACAGCATGGCCCTTCAAATGTTTTGTGGTATCAGACCTTACCCAGGCAGGGCTTTGTATCACTGAGCCACACTGCCCACTCCAGAAACAGCCTGGATAGAGCATTGGGCTGTGCAGGAAGCATGGAAGATGTTGGCAGTTCAGCGTGGTGGCTGGTGTCTGCGCCATGATGAGAGGAAGCGCTGAACACAGACTGAGCCAGCTGGAAAGGCCTCGAATGTTGTCCAAAGACCCTGGGCTGAATCCCAATTTAGGCAGTATAGACACTTGGTGGCTTGTTAGCATGCAAGTGGCATGATCTAGGAAACTGGTATAATGCTTCTCAAATGGGAGGAAGGGTTGTTTTGTCTCTTAGGGGACGTGGAGCATAAAGTTTTACTTTATGACTTACTGTCATATAATGATCACAATAGGACCAAATGGTCACAAATGGTTGCAATTTACTTTATGAATTATTGTCCTATAATGGTCACGATTGGACCAGATGGTCACAGATGGCCACAATTTACCTTATGAATTATTGTCATATAATGGTCATGATTGAAATATACCATTTGGTGGGTAGAGGCAGGGTCGCTGCCCACAGATTCCTACGACAGCACCTCACAAACCAGGGTTCTTTGTGGCTCCAAATGGTGGTTGGTGCTGGTTTGAGAAATCCTGTTTTCAAAAGCGAATCCCATCCTCAGAGGAAGGGTAGATTGAATTGAGAATAACCTCAAGAAATGATTTAGCATGGTCTGGGGATGAGACTGCTCTAGATTCTGATTTGAACCGTTCAGTAAGTAATTTACTTTTTTTTCCCCCTTTGGGTTTTGGGGCCACACCTGTGTGTGCTCTGGGTTTACTCCTGGCTCTGCAGTCTGGGATGACTTCTAGTAGGCTGAGGGTGATGGGGTGCCAGGGATTGAACCTGGGTCAACCAGTGAAAGCCAATGTTGTTGACAGCCGATGTTCCCTGCTCTTGTCTCTCTCCAGCCCTCTATACTTTAAAATTCTAAGCTGTCCTCTGACTCAATTCCTTCCATTTCAGTTACTCTTTTTTTTTCTTTTTGGGCCACACCCGATGATACTCAGGGGTTACTCCTGGCTCCACACTAAGGAATTACTCCTGGCGGTGCTCAGGGGACCATATGGGATGCTGGGAATTGAACCCAGGTTGGCTGTGTGCAAGGCAAACAAACACCCTACCCGCTGTGCTATCACTCTGGCCCTTCATTTACTCTTTTTGTCCCACTGGCCAATTGTGTGTGTGTGTGTGTGTGTGTGGTGGTGGTGGTGGTGGTGGTAGTGGTGGTGGTGGTGGTGACGGTGGTTTTGGGATTTACAAACACAAGCCAACTGCATTATGTTGGGACCACATCTGGAGCACCCCACTTCCCCCCTAGCACTGGGCAGTTTGAATAATAGTTAATTTAAACAGTGCCACCTGCAAAACTTCCTCTTTCCTCAGTGCTTGAGCAGTGCTCTGTGGCGTATATGTCCCCAGCTTCTTTTTCCAGTCACCTCTCATTGGGCCCGTGGCCCTTGTCATCACTGACAAGGATGACAGTGGTCAGCTGCCCAGGTCAGGGCCCACTCCTCTGTTTTGGTTACCAGAGATACCACCATCAGGTCACAGTACCATGGCCTCTGAGTGCCCCATCTAGGCTTGGGGCCAGTATCGCCCCCTGGGGTAATGAGTTCAGGGACTCAGGAGGGAGCACAAGAAAGGGATTTGCCTTCGGGGAATCCTTCTCTCCTTGGGCCCTCAGACTCTGTCCTGCTGCCCTGGGGAGACCTAAAGGCACTGAGACTGTCTTGTGGCGTGACCCCACCCCCACTGAGGGCCACCTAGGAAGGGAGGAGGGGGGTCAGAATCTGCCTGGCTGGGAGAGCAGATTGACCCCCCCCACCTCCATCCTGACGCGCTGCTTTGCTGTCCCCCGCCTCTGCTTTCAGGCCATGGCCAGTGCAGCTGTGGGGACTGCCTGTGTGACTCGGACTGGACAGGCTACTACTGCAACTGCACCACGCGCACCGACACCTGCATGTCAAGCCACGGGCTGCTGTGCAGTGGCCGCGGCAAGTGCGAGTGTGGCAGCTGCGTGTGCATCCAGCCGGGCTCCTACGGGGACACCTGTGAGAAGTGTCCCACCTGCCCGGACGCCTGCACCTTCAAGAAGTGAGCATACAGAGGAGGTGGGGGGAGGGGCTTCCTGAACATGCACGTGTGCATACACACGCGCACGCGCATGCTCACACACACACACACACACACACACACACACACACACACACACACACACAGGCTTTAAGGGAGAAGAGTTTGCTCCAGTCGAAGGGTTAGCTTTCCATCCCCCAGCCTGAAAGATGGAACTGGAAATAGAACCTACCATAAAGAGGAGCAGTGCCAGCCAGACTCCACGGGGACAACTCCCCCGGGGAAGCATTCATCCCGAATCCCTCTGATTTCGGAAGAAGCTAACCCAGATCCCTTCTGGTGCTGACGCCCAGACTCTCAGGCACCTGGGCCTGGAACGATTAGGACAGTCCAAAGCTGGCAAAGTTGGTCTGTACTTTTCATCTTTTTCACCCATGGGGGAATCAAAAAAAGCCCCATTAACCAGAATCTGTGCCCATCCATTTCTTTTGCCGCTTTAAGCTGGATCTGTGGGTCTGCAGCCTTCAGAGTTCGAGCCCTCTGCTAAGTAGGACCCCAGGCTTGGTTTGAGGTTCTGCTGTCTTGAAATTTTTAGTAGTTTTTGAACATGGGATGTGACGTTTTCTTTTTTGCATTGGGCCCCCAAATTATGGAACTGGCTCTGACTTTAGGACTTCCAGAGGTGACATAGGGTTCACTTTTCCATCACAGCCCTCATGGGACATGGGGGAACCAAAGACCTCGGTGTATCTGCCTGCCAGGCCCACCCAGCAGAAGTCTCTAGCAAGGTCTTGTCTGGCAGATACTTTGGTGCTTTCTCAGCTGGAACAGCCTTTGCAGATCTGCAGGGCAGAGCTGGACAGAAACACACCTGGGTTTGCTCCCCCTTGCCTGAATCCTGCATCCTCTCTCCTCCAGGGAGTGTGTGGAGTGTAAGAAGTTTGACCGAGGAGTCCTGCATGAGGAAAACACCTGCAGCCGTTACTGTCGTGATGAGATCGAGCCTGTGAAAGAGCTCAGTAAGTTCAACTCAGATGCGTGCACCAGGTTCTTGGTTTTCACGGTTGGATCCAGAGCCTCACTGGTTCTCATCTGTAAAATGGAAAGTTCGCATCTACCTCAAAGATGCTCAGCACAGGCTTGATACAAGGCAGGCGCTGAGGCTGAACTGGCCACCTGGGGTCCCCCTGCCTCTCTACTAGCCTCCTGCATCTTTTTCCTGGGCCCATGGACTCAGCAAGTATGTTTTTAATATGCCTGAATCAGGCAAACTTAACTTTAACTGCCCAAGGAAAAGTAGGTAAGGTACCCTATTTTAGCATGAGGAAACTGAAGTGTGGGTGTCCACAATTGTTACCATCTTGGTTTAGTAGGCTGGTAACCTTTTACAGAGATTTCTTTCTTCTTCCTTTCCTTTCCTCATCCTTGTCCTCGTCCTCTTCCTCCTCTCCTCTTCCTCCTCTCCTCTTCCTCCTCTCCTCTCCCTCCTTTCTTCCTCCTCCTCCTCCTCCTTCTTCTTCTTCTTCTTCTTCTTCTTCTTCTTCTTCTTCTTCTTCTTCTTCTTCTTCTTCTTCTTCTTCTCCTCCTCCTCCTCCTCCTCCTCCTCCTCCTCCTCCTCCTCCTCCTCCTCCTCTTCTTCTCCTCCTTCTTCTACCCCTCCTCCATTCTCCTCCCAAGCAGTGCTCAGGGGGGCACCAGGTTATTCCCTGAGACACTAGGCCAATGCCAGACCATGCAATGCAGGGCCAAGGATGCTGCTCAAGCTGTGCAGTATCAAGAACTACCTGGCAACCATAATGATGCTCAGAGCCTCTAGGTCTACACCTGGAGGTATTGTTTAGGGGTCATACAGTGCCAAGGTTCATACTCAGGTCTGACATATGCTTTTCATGTGCCCTGACCACAGAATTGTAGCCCCAATCCCTACAAAGTTTTGTTTTGTATAAACTACACAGTTATTGAAAACTGAGAGTGTAAGCAATCCCCATGCAAACAGCTTTGCTGGTTTGGAGGAAAACCTTAACCTTATGAATTTGTAGCCAAAATCATCATCATGAAGCCCTTCATCTCTTTGGACTCCCTCCTGGGATAAGAGACAAATATAGTGGAAAGGAAAATGCCATTGCCTACAATTATACTTTTGTGTACTTCATCCTGACTTGAGAGGAGATGGTCTTTGCCACTGTCAGCAAGTCTGATGCGGTTATCTGGGTCAGCTGGGCTGGGGTGTGCCAGGGAGCGGGCAGATGAGAATCTGGAGATAGCAATCACTCTTGAAAGCAGGAAACGCAATTTCAGTGAGAGCCATGGTAAGGCAAGCAGCTTCTGGGTGGGGCTGTTATTGGAAATAATCAGATCTCTGGACCCCTTTGGTAAATATGGAAGTGGGCTGGTGTAAATGGGGGGCTGAAGTCTGAAGGGGCCGCATTTTCTCTGGAGGAGACTTGGCTTGATTTGATGGGCATATGGGGGTGGTTGGGGGTAGACTGCTGAGATGTGAGATCTGTTTATTTGCTCAAGCAGGGCTTCTTCAATTTCCCTTTTTGTGATCATGTTTTGCCTGAGAAATGAATGCAATACAGGCAAGCACGGCCAGAAATACCTTGGATTCATAACATGGTTGATTTTGAATTAAGTTTTGGATGTTTATTGCACATTCAGAATTTTTTACTGTTGCAACTTTCAATACATGACCCCATATGGGATCACAGCCTATAGTTTTAGAAGCTAAAATCTAGACTAGATGGGTATTATAAGTGAAGTGATAAGCATTTCTTCTGCCTCTCTGCCATAAAAATAGTAAAAGTAAAAGCTTACTTGAATGGAACTTTATGACTTAGGAGAACTATAAAAACATATTTTGTGGGTGGCGGGGAAGGGAATTTGGAGATGGTACCAGGGTAAGTTTCAGACAAGGCAAGCACCATGAACCTGAACCCCTGTGCTATTTCTCCTGACCATAACAAAAATCTTTTCATGCACATCTTCTGATTCTTCTCCTAGTAGTCTAATGAGGTAGAACTATAGTGCCATTGTTTTGTTCATTTTGTAGACGAGAAAATTGATTCTTAGGAAAGTTAAGTAGCACACTCAAGCAAATTAGTGGTGAGTGAAGATTAGAACAAAATTCTGAGATCCTTACTCTCTCCACTGTACCTTGACTCCAATGGCTGACTGGAGGCTTATTGAGCTCCTGACTGTCAGATATGCATTGAAACTCATCTTCTCCTCCTGTCCCATCACTGCTGGCTGTGTGACACTGGTACTTGGCTCATTCTCATTGTATGCCAGTTTTACATAGCTGGTTTTATCAGCAGAGGGCACAGTGCAGCTGATGAAGGGTACTATATAATTCTTTTGTCAGAATAACAAGATTAATTTTTTGGTTTTTGGGCCACTCCTGGCTCTGTACTTATTAATTACTCCTGAAGGTGCTCTGAGGACTATATGGGATGCTGGGAATCTAACCTGGTCGGCTGCCTGTAAAGCAAGTGCCTTACCTAGTGCTCTGGACCCAAACTCTAAACAGAGTTTTAGAATTCGTTATGAAACACAGTGGGAGTCAAAGAGGAGAGGAGGGCTCTCAGCTCAGAAGCTAAAACAGAAGAACTAGAAATATAAGAACTGAGTTGATGGACTATTTTGAATCACTGGGCCAGCAGAGAAAGGAAAGAGAAGGAAGGAAACACCCCTGTGAGTTAGGTGCACTTGACTGATGCTGTTTCATGCCTAATTAATCCTTCAGAGAGGAAGAGAGACTGGGTGGGGTCAAGTGACTTGCTCCAGATCATGCAGCTGGCAGTTGGTAGAGCTGGCTCTTTGAGTGTGATGCTATTATGTCATGCCCCTTCCAGAGGGAAGAATGGAGGAATGAGAACCAAAAAGAACCAAACAGAGTTCTTCAGAGAGGGTCATCTGGAGACAATTGGTGGGCACATTAGTCATCTCAATGTAAACATCTTGCCTAAACTCAGGCATAGCCTTTTCTGTTGCATATTTTCCCAGGAATTCCATGGCTGGGCTTGAGTGGGTAGGCGGGGTCGAGGCTTTCTTGGGAATAGACCCGTTTTTTCATTCTCCTCTCTTGGCCCTTCCCCAGGGGACACTGGCAAGAATGCCGTGAATTGTACCTACAAGAACGAGGATGACTGTGTTGTCAGATTCCAGTATTATGAAGATTCCAGTGGAAAGTCCGTCCTGTATGTGGTGGAAGAGCCAGGTGAGCCTGGGACAGGGAGATCCGGCCATCAGCCATCACTCCACACAGGAACAGCCCAGCATGCTAAGTTAGGGCCTGCCATTTGGTATGGGGAATATGTAGATAGAAATGTTAGCAAGAAAGTGACATGTTAACTGAGAAAACAGGAAATTAAAGTATGGGTAAAAAGAGGAAGAGGTAGGCAAGTGGAGTCCACCAAGAAAAAAATATTTATCTTGATTTTCCACCCATTAGGGAGTGGGGGTGGGGGCGATTTTTGGGTCACACCCAGAGGTGCTCAGGGCTTACTCCTGGCTTTGCACTCAGGAATTCCTCCTGGCAGGGCTTAGGAGACCCTATGGGATACCGGGAATTGAACCCAGCTCAGCTGCATGCAAGGCAAGTGTCCTACCTGCTGTTGCTCCAATCCCGAGATTTCTGTGTTCTATAGATTTAATTTCTTCTCTTGGAGCCCTGTACCCCTGGGAACACAGCTGCTGGGACCACACAGCCTCTCTCCAGACACTCCTTTAATTATAGACAGGTTGTAATTTGGTGGCTTGGGCCGTAGCAGCTTGGGTTTGTGGTGGCGGTTGTTTGGGGGTAGTGTGTAGGGACCATAGGGTATATGTTTAGAGAAGAAGGTAGGAGATGATTTGGAAAGTGGGTGTAGGTCACTCTCCAGTCTCTTCGGCGCTCCTAGATACATACACCTAATTACATAACTGGAGCAGTCACTGAGCCTGATCGCCCACCAGACGCCTTGGTTTCTGGGTAAGAGGACTCTGCAGGCCAAACCCAGCTGGACCTTCAGAGGGTGACGCATCTCTCTGTGGGCTTTTGACTGGGTTAAACAGGAAGTTAAATGTTATGTGACTAAATATTGTTGGAAGGAACCCAAAATATTATCTTGACTGGCAGCCCTGCTGGTTGGAGTTTGCTAAAAAGGCCTTTCGTTTCCTAGCCCTCAGGGATATAAATATCTGAATCTGGGTAACAAAATACCTATAGGAGCCATGTAAGTTAATTAGTGAAAAAAAGTTGATGTATGAAGAACATCAGTAGCAATGTAGTTGAGATTATTGGGTTAGATTCTGAGTCTTTTGTTTTTTGTTTGTTCTCAAACGGTGACCAGAGGGGCAAGGGGCCACTCCCAATGGTACTTGGCCAACCAAACTGAATGGTTCAGTGGGGACAGAGCAATAGCACAGCGGGTGGGGCACTTGCCTTGTATGCAGCCAATCTGGGTTCAATCTCTGGCATCCCATAAGGTCCCCCAAGCACTGGCAGAAGTAAATCCCTAAACGCCTAAATGCAGAGCCAGGAGTAAGTCCTGAGCACCACGGGGTGTGACCCCAAACAAACAGCAGCAAAGTAACTGAATGGTTTAATGCTGAGGCCTGAATGATTCCCAGGTTCAGCTCATTCTAGATGCACCTTAATCCCTGAACAATCTCTCTGACCTCACAATACTGAGGGTTTTTTTTAATACTTTAGTTTAATTATTCCCAATAATGAGTTTTTAAAGGAAGTGCTATTATTTTCTCTACGTTAAGAATGGGGAACTGGGGCTGGAGAGATAGCACAGTGGGTAGGGCGTTTGCCTTGCACACAGCTGACCTGGGTTCGATTCCCAGCATACCATATTGTTCCCTGAGCTACCACCAGGAGTAATTCCTGAGTGCAGAGCCAGGAGTAACCCCTGTACATCACCAGGTGTGACCCAAAAAGCCAAAAAAGAATGGGGAACCATAAAATTTGTGCACAGAAAAGATGGAATAATTTACAAAGTTCACATAGCAAAGTATGTGATAAATTGAGATGGAAACCCATACATACATTCTTTCCAAAATGCAGATTGAGTGAGAAATTAACTTGACCCATATTTGGGGGAGAACAGAGTGGTGAGCACCCTGGCAAGCTAGAGAGCACATATGCCATCTAAGAGCGGAGTTGCTCCTAAGTCTGGGACACTCGTTGCCTTGTAGGGACATAGTTGTAGCTTTAGTTCCAGTTTTTTAGATTTTTTGGTGCTTTTTAAAGCGAGGAAGAATAGTCTGACATTATAGGAGGAGAATTTGTTCATCAGTGTTACCCAAAAATGAAATTTTCAGCAAACACTTGTTGGACCATGTTAAGTAAATTGGATCCTATCTGTGGTGACTATCTCATGACATCCAATTTGCACTATCCAAAACGCATTATTGTTCCAAAGACTGTTCCTCCACCTTTATTATTATTTTTTGGTTTTCTGACCACACTCAGCGATGCTAAGGGGTTATTCCTGGCTCTGCACTTAGGAATTTCTCCTGGCAGTGTTCAGGGGACCATTTGGAATGCCAGGGATCAAACCGGATTGGCATACCAGGCCCCACCAGCTGTTTCTCCAGCCCTATTCCCCTCCTTTAAAAAAATCAATTCAGTAGCCAGGGATGTGGCTCAGTGGTAGGAGAATTATGTTGCATCTGCAAGACCTCCAGGTTGCATTTCAGTATCCCTCCCCAACCTACCTTCACAGACACCAGTTTATTTTCCACTTCAGAAAACTTTCTAGGACTCTTTTACTTGGTCAAGAAGATCTTATTTATAGTGAGTTCAAGTGACCCTACCCCCTTGACAGGCAATGCTGACTATGCTCTCTCTCAACAGAGTGTCCCAAAGGCCCCGACATCCTGGTGGTCCTCCTGTCAGTGATGGGCGCCATTTTGCTCATTGGCCTTGCGGCTCTGCTCATCTGGAAGCTCCTCATCACCATCCATGACCGGAAGGAGTTTGCTAAATTTGAAGAAGAGCGAGCTAGAGCAAAATGGGATACAGTAAGAGGCCAGGCTGTGTGGGACTGGACACTTTCCTATATTATTGATTCTAGCGCATGAAGGGCTGAGGTAGCCAGGTTCAACCATAGTGTCTTCTGAAATTTGGAGAAAGTCTGACTCACTTGCTGTTTTTATGTTTCCCAGAAACCATCTGATTCTCTACTAGTCCATAGCCATAGGCCATGTCAGTGACTACTAACCCATCACAGATAGCACCCAGGTCTGTGCTGAGGCACTGTGGAGAGTTGGAAAGCAAATATATTTGCCAACTGAGGAAAGTAGGAAAAACATGATGATCAACATATTGAACATAAGCTTAAAAACCAAAACGATAGGATTTACCACATATCAGAAGTTGTCATAAAAGCTTTTATGTCATAACTAATTAAATCCCTAGGTGATAGGGTTTTGGGGAGGTGGGAAAGGGACCTTTCCTGCAGTGATCGGGGACCTTGAGGCCACTCCCAGCAATACTTCATTCTATAGTGTGAGCTCAACAGTTGAGCATTCAGCCTGGCAATGCAGTACTGCAGACCCAGCCCGTGAGGGCCACCAGGCCTCCCTGTAGTGCCTAAGGACCACCAGGGCTACAGCTGTCATACTCAGAGAGCCTTGTGACATTGGAGTGATCCAGCATGGGTAGCACAGCATATTCTCTAACCCTTTGAACTATCTTTCCAGCCTTACAGAATTTTTATTACCATTTTATAGACTAAGAAATTGAACACAAGGCCAGAACTATTATACAACGGGTTTGTATGTTTGCCTTGCACGCAGCCAACACAGGTTTGATCCCTGGCATCCCATTTGGTCTCTGGAGCACCACCAGGAGGGATTCCTGAGTGCAGAGCCAGGAGTAACCCCTGAGCATCATAGCCAAGTGTGACACCTCTTCCCCCCTAAATAAAAGCCAGGAAAAAAGATACTGAGCACAAAGAAGTTAGCTACTTTTTTCGATTGTGGGAGGAAATCATATTGCCATCAGAATTAACTTTTTGGGTCAGCCTCTTAGAAATAGTGGCTAGATGGCAGTCTGCCTCCTCTCTCCTCTTATTTCCTCTCTATTCCTGTTTTCAGAGCCAGTGTCTGAATAGATTGAACATGTTTTTTTTTTTAATGAGGTATCCCAGAAAAGGGTGTTTTGTCTTTTTAAACAATTTTATGTTTTTGATTTTTGGGTCACACTTGGTGATGCACAGGGGTTAATTCTGGCTCTGCACTCAGGAATTTCTCCTGGAGATGGCTCTGGGGACCATATGGGATGCTGGGAATCAAACCCGGGTTGGACGTGTGCAAGGAAAATGCCCTACCCGCTATACTATCGTTCTAGCCCCATGTGTTTTGTCTTAGATAAAACATAAACCTGGAGGCTAGGGGAAGTTTGAGGGACTGACTGTCAGATACTTTTCTGTTCTCTCCACAGGCTAACAACCCACTGTACAAACAGGCCACATCGACCTTCACAAACATCACCTACCGGGGTGCTTAATGGCAAGCATTCATCTTCAGACATACCATAGGGCCCAGGATTGTGGAAGTCGCTGCTCTCATGTTTACAGGGGATGATATCTGGGGGGTGGGACTGGGGACTTGGGCTGGAGTAGGCTGAATGAATGTCAGCATGTGGAAGTTTTGGTTTCTGTGCGCGCGCGCGCGTGTGTGTGTGTGTGTGTGTGTGTGTGTGAGAGAGAGAGAGAGAGAGAGAGAGAGTGCTGCATGTGAGAGAGTGTGTAATTTAAACTTGTGATGTGTCCCGGATAAACAGGGCTCCTCAGCCTTTGTCCTCAGAACACCTTCTTCAGGGATTCTTCCTGTTGAACCTGAGGGTCACCTGTGCAGCTGAGCAGGTGGTCCCTGTTACCTCAGCGAAACGTCAGCTTTCCTTCTTGGGTCACGCTCTCTGAACAGAAGGGCGGGTCTGAGGCCTCTCATGCCCAAGGAAGGGATTCCAAGCCTGGACTCTCCTCTCAGTTTAAGGCTCTTGGGCCTGACTCTCAGCCGCTCTGGTAGAAACTATGGTGCCGCCTTGTGTCATCTGGACCTCCCACTCCTTTCCTTTCCCTCATATCGAAAAGGAAGTTGGAGCTGGGCCACCTGTACGCCTTCTGGTGCATCATGGTTCTCTCATCAGGGGAGACCCAAGTTCTTGGTCTGTTGGGAGTGAGGAATTCAGAACCACCTGGGGGCTGTACATTGCCTGGGACATTGTACTAGGATCCCTCAGTAAAGAAAGCCCTTCAGATTTGCCCCCACTGTGCAACTCTGGAGGTTTGTTTAGAAGAAGTGTATCACCTCAAGACCAGCACCACCTCCTTACCTCCTGTTTTCAGGCCCTCACTGCTGTGGATATTTGCTACACACTGGGAATTTCTCTCACGATCTTAATGATGCTTTTCCTCCCAAAGAGAGCACTCTGGGTGGAGGCAGGAGCTGGTCCTGCCCTTCAGGCATTCTGCCTCTTGTCCAAGGCACTCCCCACAGACAACCCTGTTTCTATGTGCTGTATTCATCCATGGGGCTATTTATCTACCTCTTGGGTATCTTGTGAAGGAATCATTCCCATGGGTCTCTGAATCTTCTGGGCCTAAGTACCAGGTAGAATAATGGACCAGCCATATCAGCATGGATGAGTGTCTCTGATGAATGGGGCAAACTCATTTTCACTCAGTCTTTAATCTGAGAGGCCACAAGTGAAATTTTACTTCCTTTTTCTCACTGGGTTATCTCACTGGATTTATGATGAGGCTTGCCTAATCTAAAGGAATATGGACATTCTGTTTGGAATTTATTGGATAATGAGGAAGGAGAATATAAAAAGTCATGCAGAGTTATTCTGATGAAGGTACTTCCACTTGACATCTTTTATAGTAGGTTACTGCCCTGTTCTGGGTTTGTAAGGGTTTTCATGTCCAAAATGATGATGGGGTGAATATATGGACAGCATTGACCTTCTCTGAGGTAGAGGAAATAACTATTCTTTTAGTTTTTTTCCTGTGCTATGGATCAAACCTAGGCACTCACACATGTGAGGCATGAGTTCCACCATTGGACCGCATCCCTGGCCTACTGTTCTTCATTTGCTAGCAAGAACAGTTGCCTTGTTGGCATTTACATTTGTCCAACATTAACACCCCTATCCCCCACTTTCCCACCAAGAAAGAAGGAAGAATCTCCAAACTGTTTGATGATCAGGGATTATAAATACTGGGCCCAGGATTGCAGCCAAAAAAAAACATTTGACTTTAGGCAAGTCACTTTCTTCTCCCCAGGATCCAGTTTCCTGGTCTAATAAAGGATAGGTTTGGTTATACCCACCTAGGAGGTCCTTTTTAGTATCAATATCCTGAGATGCTCAGAGCTGCTGCAGCAGATCAGCCATGCAGTCAGCATTTTATGGAATGTTGAAAACAGTGTTTAGTTGGGAGATCAGGAGACATGGCATTGGCAAGAGCAGATGTTATTCAATGTCATCTTTCTCAGTAAAATGACCTCAGTTGGGTGGAAGCAATAGTACATACAGCAGGTAGGGCACCTGCCTTGCAGGTGAGTTTGATCCTTGATGGTCCCCTGAACACCGTCAGGACTAATCCCTGAGTGCAGAGCCAGGAGTAAACCCCGAGCACCATAATGCATGGCCTAAAAACCAAAAAAGGGGGGGAAATGCTTCATTGTTGCCTTTCTCAGAATCCCTTCTCTAACTTTCATCTCTGGATGTGACACTTAAGCTTCACTTTGTTGTTATTGTTTCGTTCACTTTGCACACATTTCACTCATATATTAAGGAAAAGGCATACATAAGTAGCTAACATGTATGTCCTGTGTCCATGTGTTCACATTGCAAATAAACCTTGGAATTAGAAATGGGCCAGGTGACTGAGAATCTCACTCATGAATTGTTCTCACTGTAGAAGTCATCCTGGGTAGATAGTGGTAGGAGGGATGAACTTGAATCCAAGAAACTTGGAACCTAATTATGACTTTCAGCTACTGAGACAAGTGTTAGAGGAGCAGTTAGACATTTTAAAGATATGATTCCATGAAGAAATACCATCAAAGAAGGGAGAACCCATTTTCGAAGGATGGCGGTATCAGTAGGAATCTCATCTGACCAGCTAGATGAAGTTCATGGCCTTGAAAACCAGTACACTGTCTATATTTGGAGAGAAAATGTAGCAGCATAAGAAAGTAAATAACGGTCAATTTGGGAATCATGTAGGCTGAACATCTAAATAGTGTTTTGGCATCAGACAACACAGCCCAAAGAGATTATTTGACCCCAGCTTTTTGGGAAATAAATTGTGTTCATTCTCAGGATCTGTGGACAATTATAGGAAACTTTAGAACGTACCTGACAGGTAGTAATATATGGAGTTGGTTCTTAAACTCTTAGACATTTCTAGACCATCTGTTATTTCAAGATATTTCCCTTTGTAAAGTATTCCTGGTTGAAATGACTTAAGTGACTTCCTAACCACCTCCCTGTTTGAGTTGTGCAACAGTGAATTAAATGTGCTTTTCCAAAAAGAATTGGCCTATGGCTCCCCGGTACTTCCTGTGTTGTTATTTCGGTTTCCTTTGGGTGAAAAGAATAAGTGTCATTGCCTCACAAGTGATTATTTTAGAACAAGCATGTTTTCAAATGAATGATGATGACTACGGGAACTGATCTTAGTTTCAGAACCCAGAGCCTTTCTTTAGACTTGAATAATATTTTTAAAATGAGTAGATTATCCCTGTTCTGAGTCAAGAGCTTTTTTATTTTTTTAAATGGGCATTAGGAATGTTTTCTCAATAGAACACTGTTGATTTGGCATAGGTTTTGTTTGCAGAAAGAATAGCATCGGTAAAATAAAGACTCAATGGCAAATTATTTACAAGACTGTTTGAAGGCCCAGCTTTTATTTAAGACATGTCTCAAAAGTGTGGTCCCAAGACCAGCCTTGGAATACCAGCAGTATGACTTTCGGCTGGGAACTTGTTAGGAATGTAAATTCCCACAATGACAGAATTAGAAACTCTGGGGCTGTGGCTCAGTCATCGTATTTTAATAAACCCTCCTGGTGATTCTGATGCATGTTTAAATTTGAGAACAACTGATTTAAGGAGTCACATATATTTCTTCCTGGTCTAGAAACAAGTTTACAGTAAGTCCACTCAGTTCTTATAGGGTTAAGGATGCAACTTGGTTTACGGATTCGGAAAACCAAATATCAATGCACACAGAGTGAAAATCTATGTTTGATCTACTTTCCAAGTAAAATGATCATAGGCTGCTTGGGTTCACTCACCGCCACAAATTCCCATGAAACACCAAAAAAAGTAATAGATCAAAATCTCAGTGAGAAATAGCTAGCAGAATACTTGGCAGGCACCTAAGAAAACCTTTTATGTGAATCAAGTTGGAGGAAGAAAATATTCTCCCAGCATTTGTTCACAGGAGTTGGAATCAAAATCTTAATGATTAACAGCCCAGAATATGACTTTTGAATTTATAACTTCCATTTCTTGCCATTTAAAATTTATTATGCACTGACAGTATAGGACTTTCAAAGCACTTTATAGAACTCTCATTTCCAAGTTTTATATTCCTGGCATCATGTACAATTTTGGTACACACTGCAGTGTATGACATCATGAAAAGAATATGTGAGCATAGGCTGTCTTTTGTGTGAATTTTTCCTTAAGATTTGCTGTGTTTTATATACATCATGATAATTGATGACTAAATGGAGGGCTTTACATGGAAATGAAAAGCTATATGTCAAGACATCTTTGTTATCCTTTAACTCTTGGCCATTGTAGTCTGAACTCCAGTAACCAGCATCTAATGATCTCTGGGACCAATTATAAGCACATTGTCTTGGAATCAGATTGCACTAATTTTTCCACTAATGTTAGGAAACAATTGCATATGCTTTGCAAGTAAACCGTTTTAATACCAACTGAAAACATTTCTATTTGGTTTTGTAATATGTATGCAGCACATAATATTACACATACATTAATTCCTAGAAGTATATATCCCTAATTTGTTTCTGTTTGATTAAAACAGACAGGGAAGTAGTCTTAAGTGTTTGTGATCGGGTTAGCCATATTCTTTAATAAAAAATTTTAAATCCACTTAATGTGGTTACCAGGAATGATTTGTAAGTTAAATCAAATATTAGTCTGGGACATGATTGTGTTCTTTGCAGCTGCTCACAGTATCTCTCCAAACTTTTGCATAAAGGGAACATTTTCCATTAGCTGTGTATTTTCTGACAAAATACAAAAGAATGCGTCAAGATACTAGAAAGCAACACTTAGGGAATTTAAGAGGCTGTATTCAAAACCTTTACTATAAATTATTTATTTTGAAGAGTTTTGAGAGGAAGGCAAGAGGATCAGAGTGGGCATGAGAGTTAGAATAAGTAAATGCAGGGATGGAAGGGATTTAGAGTGAAGTGTTCATGGATGAACTAAGAAATGTTGGGAATATATGTATATATATTTTTTCTCTTAGAATTTCCAGGATTGAAGCCTGTTGGACCCATTTTGGACTTCTGATCACCAGAAATATAAGATTTAAAAATTGCTTATGCTGAGTCAGAGTGATAGGACAGTGGGTAGGGTATTTGCCTTGCACACGACTGACCCACGTTCGATCCCTGGCATCCCATATGGTCCCCCAAGCACCGCCAGGAGTGATTCCTGAGTGCAGAGCCAGCCAGGAATAATCCCTGATCATTGCCGGTTGTGACCCAAAAAGCAAAAAAAAAAAATGCTTATGCAAGTAAATTGTGATAATTTATTACACTGGCAACAGAAAACTAAGCACCAAAATATTCTGGCCACACATTATGTGTAGACTTCCATGTGCAAATACAATCATCTCTGCCAAGGCCCCAGAGTCATCTCATTATAGCATCAGCACATGCTCAGAGTCAAGTCCTCCAAATATTTTGTGGGGCGAATAAATTTTCTTGAATTTAGTTCCTATAGATAGCTACTTGAGTACTGTACCTTTCAATCTAAAGTTCTGTAACCTGGGTGACAAGCGGAGAGGAAGGGGGTGGGGAGGGGGAACTATGTGCTCACTTTCCCATCAACCAATGAGAAGTGTGGGGACAGACAGGATAACTGATACAGACATTCCTGTTCCAACAGGCAGAAAACAGAAGGTGCATAGAAATCATTATCCCATAGTAAATCCAACATACAGTTCTTTTTATAAAAAAAAATTATTTGCTGCCGCCAGCAGGTCAATCTGTACCTGTAAGGTGAGTGCATCAGCAGCCTGATGGCACCATCATACTTTCAGATATCCCAAAATTGCTGCTGTGCCTTTGGCCAGACCCCAAAAACTTGGGGCAAAGTTTACCAAGAAAGTAAACGGCCAAAAGTTAGGTATGTGGGAGACACACCCACAAACCACCTCCAGCTCAGCTATATAATTGGAGGCATGGCCTCTCTGGTTCCTGATCGAACTGCTTAATGGCCATGATCCCAGAGACTCAGAAACGAATCTCGGAACCCAAAGGCTTTTGGCAGAAATGCGTCCTGTTCCTGCAGTAGGTTACTGGTGCTGGACCACTCCAGGTGGGAATAGGGTTTGTGCCTTGGCCTGTTCCCCTGGCGGCCTGGTGACCGCCATCCTCCAGAGGCACTGGACAGTCAGGTTTGGGCCTGCAGTGACGAGACACGCGGGGCCTCACCAGATGGGGGTGGAACTGGCCCTTTCCTCCCCATCCCAACGAGACCCGGAGTCGCCGCCTACAAACGGCCTCTCTGGCTCCTGATCAAGCTAATTAATGGCCATGATCCCAGAGACTCAGAAACAAATCTCAAACAAAACCCAACGGCTTTTGGCAGAAATGCATCTGGACCGCAAACAAGGTGGCCACCGCCTCAGAGCTTATTGGAAAGCCAGGTACGAGCCAGCGGTGACGGGGCAACTGCAGTCTCATGGGAAGGGGGATGGTACTGGCTGTCCTTCACGCCCTACCGAGGTCACAAGTTGCCCCTCACAAGCGGCTCTCCGTCACGGCCATAACACCAGACATACAGAAACCAATCTCATAATTATCTGGCTCTTTGCAGAAATCCAAAATCATTATATGATTCTCATAACCAGCTATAGAAAACTAAGTATTTCACAATGCCTTTTCAGCAATTCTGATTGTTGGGCGGGGGGGGGAATTCTAAATAATGGTGCATCTTTTGTCGAAATAATGAATGTAATCAATGTAGAGAAGAGTTAAGTGGAAATCATCTGTCTCACAGGCATTGGGAGGGGTGGGAGGGGGGTATATTGGGATTCTTGGTGGTGAAAAATGAGTACTGGTGAAGGGAGAGGTGTTTGATCATTGTATGACCGAGACTTAAACCTGAAAGCTTAGTAATTTTTCCCACAGTGATTCAATAAATAAATATAAGAAGAAAAATAAATAAAATTATGAAAAAAAAGTAAGGTGGAGTTCATGCCCAAATCAATCAGCTAATCAGTGGCTGAATAAATAGCAGTACTCCTACATAAAAAAAAAATTATTTGGAGCTGGAGCAATAGCACAGTGGGTAGGGGTGCTTGCCTTGCACTCGGCCAACTCGGATTTGATTCCCAGCATCCCATATGGTACCTCGAGCACTGCCAGGAGTAATTCCTGAGTGCATTAACCAGGAGTAACCCCTGTGCATCATTGGGTGTGAACCAAAAAGCAAAAAAATATAATAATTTAAAGTAGGAAAAAAGTAACAACTGTTGATACAATTCTAGGATTAAAATTTATTATACAGTTTCAATTATTATATCAACATATGTAGAAAATAAATTTATGTGAACATTGTTATATCAGATTGCAGGATTGGTAAGGCCTCATCTAAAAATGTATTAAGCTTTTTGTTGCTACAGGGGGTGTCCCACAGCTGTGAATGCAGCCACGTGGTGCAGATGTTTCCAGATCTATGGTCTGGGCCAAAGAGTCAACCAAGCGGCAGATGTGAGTTTTGGGCAGGATTGCTGGAGCTTCCGGGAGTATGAGATGTGGGGGAAGAGGTTTCCCACTCTGACTCTGAAAAAAAAAAAAACATGTGTTGTCAGACCAGGTGCCAGTACCTGAGATTATTTGGAGATTGGTATCTCTGTAGAGAATATTCGTGGACAGTGGCATTGAGCCCTTGGCATAGCTATTGTGGTGGGGATGGGTGTTACTGCTGAAGCCTTGGTTTGGTGGTGCTCCAGGTTTTCAGCAGTTGAACTGGCATTTCCACAAAGTTCAGCTGCTTGGCATGCATCTCCTGGGAGATTTAGTCAGGATTTGGTGGAACAGGGATAGTGGGTGAGTCGACATGGGGCAGATGCAGATGGTGGGACATATTTGTTTATTTCCAGATTCAAGGCCTGGGAATAATTTTCCATGGCTTTTCATTTCACCCTCTAGCCTCTTGATTTTTTTTTTTTTTTGCTTTTTGGGTCACATCCAGTGATGCACAGGAGTTACTCCCGGCTCTGCACTCAGGAATTACCCCTGGCAGTGCTCAGGGGACCATAT